AAGGAAGGAAAGGAAAAGAAAAGAAAAGAAAAGAAAAGAAAAGAAAAGAAAAGAAAAGAAAGTCTAGGACAACCATGGCCAAAAATTAAAAAAAAATGTATCATTTTCTGTTGACTTTCATATTGTTATATCGACAAATCCTACCTTATAAAGTACTGTGTTTTAAAATTCTCATATAAAGCAATTATTTTACCATAGTATTAGCTTTTTGCAAATTAGCAAGGTTTGTTATTACCTGTGCTATACAAACTTGTAGATTAGAAGCTACTTGATTCTGCTCTTCCTTAAGTATTTTATTAAGAATTTCACGATGTTCACTGTCCTTCCTCAGTAAGAAAAGACCAGAATCTTTTTCATCAAGGAAAGGAGAGGAATTTCGCTCATTTGGAATTGAGCTGTCATCAGGAACACTATGTGAGAAATGACAACATTCACAGAAAAGTATAAAAGACCACATAAATTTATGAATAAAATATATCCTAACAGTTAAGTAACTTATTTTATTGATTCAATAAAATATAGTAAAAAGATAAGTAACAAAAGGAGACTGGTGATAATATTGACTATATCATTAGACTATTTTCCAGAACATCAGCAAACTCCCAACTGGCATAAAGATCAGGATGCAAACTTCCTGACAACAATTGGAATTAAATAAAATTGCCCATCTTCCTGGAGATTCAGATGTCAGCAAGTAAAAATAAATATTTCTAGTTTCAGACTAGCCTGTACAAGTGATATAAAAGCCTTGAGTACCAATGCCATAAAGTGGACAATAAAGTAAGAGATGCACAACTTATTCAATTGCAGTGTTTGAGTTGATACAAAGCTGCTCCACATTGACATCAAAGATAAGGAATTAAATCTTGTGTGTATGCACACTTTCTTATGTGTGGCACATTCGAATCACTTCGAATGGCTGGACTAGATTGCCACCAAACTATTGCTTAACATGCCAAACTACTGCTTAACAACAAAGCTTATGCTATACCACTGACATAAAACTGCCACCCTCCTCACGTACCATCCATGACTAGACAAGTAATTTCACCATAGTAAATTCTACCTTAATAAATGGGAAATGGGACTCTTTGATTGCACTTCAGAAAGAGAACGCTTTGCTTTTTCAAACATGTCAGATTGCACATCAGAGTCTGGAGAGACAGAGCCAGGCTCACTGCTACTACTGCCAGTCTGCTCCTTGTGGACTGGCAGAGGCAGAGAAGCACTACGACTGTAATCTGGAAAGGAGCAAAGGAATAAATAAAAATGTTATTCATCACTTAAGTGATGGAAAAATTGGGCTACAATCAATTTTAATTAAAATAGCTATCAAATATAACCAAACAAGACACTGGAAAAGCAAAGCAGAAAAATAAAGCCCAAACAGATTACAGGTAGCCCTTTCAGCTCTATTCTGATTAATTGACTTAAGGCCACCATTGAACCCAAAATTTCTGTTGCAAAGTGAGACATTTGTTAAGTGAGTTTTACCCCCATTTTACCACCTTTCTTGCAACATTTGTTAAGTGACTTATTGCAGTTGTTAAGTTAGTACCACAGTTATTAAATGAATCTGGCTCCCTCATTGACTTTGCCTGTCAGAAAGTGATCACATGACCCTGGGACTCCACAACGGTCATAAATCTGTTGGTTACCAAATGTCTGGGTTTTAATCATATTCAGTAATCATGGGGATGCTAGGTCATAAGTGTGAAAAAGGGTCCTAAGTCACTTTTTTCAGTGCCATTGTAACTTTGAACAGACACTAAATGAACTGTTCGTCAGGTCCACCATATTTGGCTTGGTACTGTGCTGGCATCCTGTCATCCAAAGACTGGGGGGGATGGATGGACTTGAGGGAAGACAAATGGGCAGCAATAAACCTGTATGCATTTTTGTGTGGGAATTTGGGAGAGGGGATGACAGCTGAAGTGGCAACGTTTTTCAGCAAGCTGACAGAAATGTAATGGGGGCTCACACAGAAACATTTGAGTTTTGTTGGTCCACCAGGCATGGAAAGATACTAGGATTGGCATGGCTATGGAAATGGAACCCCTATGTGAACTAAGGAAGGCGGCTGCTTCAAACCTGGTGAGCTGAAGTGAAAGGAAATCTGGGAAAAGACTTAGGGGACCCAAAGCCAAGGCAGGAGGTAGGGCTACAATGCGGGTGTGAAAGAAGACCAACCCTTGAATTCCACAGGAGTACTGGGACTTGCAGGATGTGTTAAGCGAAAAGGGCTCAGACGCGCTCCCACCCCACTGGTCAACTGACCGCTCCACAGAAATCCTGTCGGGTGCTAAACTGCCTAAGCCGAAGTTATATTCAATGACACTGAGGGAACTAGAAGATTACATGCTTTATAGACAAACATTTAAGACAGGGCTTCATCCAACTGGCTCAACCCAGGATGGCTGCCTCGTTCCTAATGTCTTTGCTGTGGTTAACTGTTGTAATATAGATAGTACTCAAGACCATAGTTGAGCCCCAAATTTCTGTTGCTAAGTAAGGCAATTGTTAAGTGAGCTCTACCTGATTTTGTGAGCTTTTTTGCCACATTTAAGTGGCAATAAATAAATAAATAAATCGTGTGGTCATTAAGCAAATCTGGTTTCTCTTGTCAGAAGTGGCTGGGAAGATTACAAATTGTAAGCACATGACACTAGAGCAGTACAACTGTCATAAATACATGCCAGTTGCCAAGCACCTGCATTTTGATCATGTAACTATAGGGATCCTGCAACAGTTATGTTGTGTGAAAAATGATGATAAGTCACTTTTTTCAATGCTGTTGTAACTTCAAAGAGTCACTAAATGAATGATTGCTAAGTTGAGAACCACTTGTCCTGAAATTTGTGTAAGGTTTCTTCCATAGTTAAGTCAAATCAATGCTTACCCAATTTTGGCTATAACCATCTCAACTGTTCTTATTTTCAATATAGAGCTATACTTAAGAGAACAAGTGCTATCCAGGAAATACTATTCACCGTGGAAAGTTTTCTCATATTTTTTTTCTTTATCTATTTAATAAATCCCAGGACTCTTGTTTCATACAGATCATTCAGGGGGACAGTTATTACCATAACATCAATTGCACAATATAAGCAGAAGAAGCTGTTGTATAGTGATCTATACTGCCAAATTGACAATGGCTGTCAGACAGGATTTTTTTTTCTTTTGCCAAACTTCTCTGGACATGCCAGAGACTGAACATGGATTGTTTGCAAAGAAAGCATATTTTTCATCTATGAATTATAATTCTTGCCACATCTGGAAATCAATCAATTTTATCTAATTATTCTTACATAATTCTTAGCTGTGCTGTAGATATACTGACTTTTTTGTTTTACCTGAAGGTTTGAATGCAATTCTATTTTTCTTGCTTTTGTTCACTTGCTTTAAGAATGAGTCTTTAAATAAATCAGATGCTGTAACACGTTTGTTTGGATCAGGTTCAAAACAAAGTAAGATAAAAGCTTTAGCTTCAGCAGAAAGTGATTTAGGGATTTCGGGGTGAATTTTGAACATCCCAACCTGTAAGTAATAAAGGTAGCCTGCGTTATTTGAACATTAAAAATTAATCCAAAATTGGATTGTTTCATTGTGTGCATTAAACTAATAAAAGTGAGAAATAAAAGTTTTTCAATTAATTGAAGCTTATGCTTATGCCACCAGACTCAAAATTCTAGACCTAGAAAACCTAGAACTACGATGCCTTTGGTCCGATCTAAGTATAGTATATAAAATCATACATTGCAATGTCCTACCAGTTAATAAATACTTCAGCTTCAACCATAACAACACAAGAGCAAACAATAGATACAAATTCAAGGTTAATCGCACCAAACTTGATTGCAGGAAATACAACTTCAGCAACAGAGTGGTCAATGTCTGGAATACTCTACCTGACTCTGTGTTTTTTTCCGCAAACCCCCAAAACTTTAACCTTAGACTGTCTACTATTGACCTCACCTCCTTCCTTAGAGGCCTGTACGGAGCGTGCATAAGCGCACCAACGTGCCTACCATCCCTGTCCTATTGTTTCTTTTACATATTTTTTTATTTTTCTTATATGTATCCATGTATTCATAACTATGTTTTTACTTATACCTATTATTTTGTAAGCAGTTGACAAATAAAAATTAAAAAATAAACTGTATTACAAACTGTGAAGATCTATCTCCTCTCTGCCTTGGTTTGAGAGTGAGATGATTTCTCTTCCAGCATTCAATCAACTTGCAAATGCTTTTCACACGTCAAGAGTAAAATGTTCTGGGCACCATGATCTTGCACAACTTCAGCCCACCATTCTCTGCAAAAGTAGATGGGTGCCTGAAGTTGCCTGAGATCATGGCTCTCAGAAGCTTCCAGTCTTCACTCAAAACATTTGCAAGCTAATAGGACACTGTGTTGGAGAAAAATCATGCTGCCTCAAAACATCCCATGTTTTGCATGGAGACTGTAAGCTTGGGGGAGGGCATGATCTTGCTCAGCTGAGAGGAGACAGCTCATTAGATCTTTGCAAGGTAAGTGACCCGGCATGGCAGGATGGGGTGGGGAAGCAATTGCATGAGGTATCTCAGTGGGTCCAAGATGGCTGCCATGAAACTGGGAGAGATGACCATCTAAGCACTATGCAGGAGCAGACTTTGGTGAACTTGGTGAGAATAATTCTTTTTATTCTAACTCCAAAAGAATATCTAGGAAACGAGAGGCTCACAACTATTAAAAAAACAAACAGCAGCAACCTAGCACTCTTTGAAATGCTGGAATTACCCACTTAAAAACCAACACTATTTTAAGAGACGAAAGAATGCTTAAAGGAAACTTTAAAATATAGAAAACCTGGAAAATAGCTGAACAACCTGAAAGGTGATCCTTGGGAGGAATTGTCCCTTATATTTGTAGTGTCTCAACCCCCCAGGATTTACTGGGAAACCAACTGTTTTTGATATACTGTTTAATGCTGGAACTTGGAAGGAGTGCCATCTACTGGAAGAAGAAGCGTGAGACCCTCTAATGAAAGTGTATGACCTTGACTTTATTTCAGAAGGCGATTTGGATATTTTGAATTACTGAGTTTCACTTCCTTTTTTAAGATTTTAAAGATGAACTAAATTGTTAATAACTAAACACTATTGAAATTGGTTATTGGACTGAGGACTCAAAAGATTGGAGAAAATACAGTGGATCAATTTGGATTTACACGATTAATACTATCTGACAGAAATCACATAAGGCCAAAGAAGGAAAGAAATAGAAGAAAAGAGAGAAGAAGGAAAATTAAATAAGACTTTAAAATTTGGAAAATTGGGAAGACAAATAATTGGACAATTAAAAGACTAAAAGACTAAAGAATTTTAAAAATTATAAACTTAGGGGATTTTGGAGACATAACTATGAGAATGATTAAGTTTTACTAATAACTACCCTGTTTCTCCAGCAATATGGCCTCCCCCAATAGGAAGTCCCAGCATGTTTTATAGGCATGAAATGAAATTAAGCCCCTTCTCCCAAATTAAGGCCTATATTAAAACATGCGAAATGGGGGGGAATGGTGGGGGGGCTTGCCTTTAGGAAGTACTTTTGTTGCACACCCGGATATGGTGCTGCCTGTGTTGACCCCAAACACCGAGGTCAACATCCAAGCCATCGCTGCCCGCCCGCCTGAAGATGCAAGGGGGGGAATTAAGTCACCCCCCCCAAAAGACGGCCTAGCCATTTTTTCGGGGCTCAAAAAAAAATAAGACCCGGCCTTATTATATGAGAAACACGGTAGCTTGAGGGGAGAGTTTGAATCCTGAGTCATTGGAATTACAGAGGTATATTGAGCAATTTTTACTGGATGGTAATAGAATGGATTACCAGGGGTTACTAGAGGGATATGAAGAAATAATTTTGATGCTTAAAAATATGTGTGAAACCATAAAGAACAATAAGGAGACAAGGGCTTTGCCTAAAGATAAAGAACTGAGTGTAGAAGGTTAGCAGCAATGGGGTGGGGTGGGGGGAAGAGAAACAAGATATTGGGGAAATGGATCAGAAATTAGAAGAGGCAGTGGAAGAGAAAAATCGAAGTGAGATGCAAAAAAATAAAGATAATGGAGAGAAAGGACTGATAAGTTTGAGTCAAGTAGATAATATTTTAAAAGGATAAAGGAAAAAAAGCAAAATCTCTTTAAAAAAAGAAAATCTCTTCAAAAAAGCAAACAAAAATATCTTCAAAAAAAAGAATGACTTATAGATGGGTATTCAAAGGTGAATAAAAAGTTAACAGATGATGGAACTCCAAAAAGACCAAGAGATGATAGATAGCGATAAAATGCATTAGTAAAATGGCAAAATATAAAATATAAATAAGGAAAACAGTAGCATATATACTAATAGAAAAATAGAATTTACTTTAATTAAAAATAAGGGTAGAAGGTGGAAGTTTAGGATTAGGGAATTTAATTGTATCAATATTAGCACTGTGTTAAAATATATTGTGAATTTCAAACTTTTAAGGATTAGAAATTGTGGGGAGTTGGAGATGTAATCCCGGGATCGATTGAATACTGTTAATATTTGGATTGATTAGTAGTGTTGGATATTTGGGATTTTGAAAGCATGATGGAATTTTTAATTTTTTTAAAAAAATATTAAATATAAGACAGGATAATGAATAATGGTGAAAAGAAATGTTATGTATGCTTAAATGAACTAATGGGACAAATAAGAAAGAATGGAAATAGAAATAAGAGGGGAACAACAATATACATATTTTAATATAACAAGATATACGCAATAATAAGAGGGAGGTCAAGAAATTGAATGGTGGCAGTATTAGATAAGTTTAAACAATATGATATAATGAAAATGAAATGTAATAATTAGGAGTTACAACATGTCTATTTGTACTAAGTGCATGGTATCCAATCACACTGTTCATGCACTGACATATATATAAGTAATATAAAATAAAAAACTTGACATGTAAGAAAAAGAAAAGGTCACACTCTGATTTATTTATTTATTTTAGAAATTTTATATTGCCGTCTATTCGCACATAGTGACTCAAGGCGGCTTAAATGGATACAAAAATTATATAAAAGGAATAAAAATAATAAACGAGGAATAACAAAATGAACAAATTAGTAAAATAATAATCCTCCACCCTGGCGACAACACACACTCATACAAACCATTTAATGGTTCTTCAGGCCTGCTGACAGAAAGTTTTCAGCGCCTTCCAAAAGAGTGTTAGAGTGCGGGCCAGTCTAATGTTTGGGGGAATGATAGAGAGACGGAGCCACCATGGAGAAGGCCCTTCTTCTGGGTCCCGCCAGATGTATCTTCCTAGGGCAGGAGTAGGGAAACTTGGCTGTTTTAACACTTATGCACTTCAACTCCCAGAATTCCTGAGTGAGCCATAAAAGGTTCCCCATCCCTGGCCTATTGGTTTTTCAGTTGTGGGGGAAATCAATTTTTGACTTGAATGGGACTGTTTAATATACAAATTGTATATGGGATGGGGAACCTTTTATGGCTCACTCACGAATTCTGGGAGTTGAAGTCCATAAGTGATAAAACAGCCAAGTTTCCCTACTCCTGTTCTAGGGGATAGGACCCAAACATTCCTTGCCTCCCCGGTCTAGTGGTTCGGGTAGATGTGACTAGCAAGAAACTACATTTATGGGTCTTTGTCTTGAATAAGGACTGACTGGATAAATGAGGGCTAGAAGGATTAGAGCCTGAAAATCTTAACCTAATTAAACCAGAATTTGTGTTTATAGATCACTCTGAAAGCAGACTTGCCAAGTTTACAGCTCTATCAATTTGTATATAGACTTAATTTTTCATTTTTCACATTGCAAATGCAGCAGTACTTTCTTTCAATGTTATTTCTTACGTAAATTCACTTCTTGCAAAAAGGCTGTTTTGTAAGACTAGTTTATGTCCTTGTAACAAAGAACTTTCATAACTATATTTTATTCTACATGGGCTGTTTGTGATGACAAGTTAGTACATTTAGTAGTTGAAAAACTGTTGTACATCTCCTAACTTAACAGGAAAGGTGAACATATCTAGATAACTTCTGTTCTCAGTCTCAATTCAGTTCTTACTTTGAACATGGCTGCTTGTGGCTCCCCAAGTTCATGAAATGGAGCCTTTCCTGTTGACATTTCAATGATAGTACATCCCAGGGACCATATATCAGCTGGTGCCCCATATCCTCGAGGGCCCTTATCAATAATCTCTGGGGCCATATACTGCAAAGTACCTAGGGAGGATAAAAGAAGTATTATGTGAACAGACTATTCTCTTTCAATATTCACAGATGAAGTTAACAAGTGGACCAGTGTAAATATTGCTAGGTTTGACTGCTAGACTATTTTACTACAATTTGTTTAGATATTTGCCAATACATGTGGAAAAGAAAAAGTTCCTTCCAATAATATTGAAAAAGTATGCTTCAGTGCATCTTCTCGGCTTCTGCATATAACAAAAGCTTAATTATTCAACTTTGTACAATGATATTGTACTAGAAAAAAAATCTGCTATGAATACCAAACTTATAAATTAATAGATGTTTGTGTAAAAAGTTAAATTATACCTATATTTATTTATATATTCCTGAATTGAATGGAATTTATGTTCAGTGAATATATTCTAGTGAATATTATCCAAGTTGTTGGCCAGATTTTTCACTTATGCAACTTCAATAAAGCCATGGCATTTCATGTCATCAAATCATTCTCTAAATCCTGGATTAATTTTAAACTTGTTCTAAGATACTATCCTTTATAATAATAGGTGTAATTTTTTAAAAGTTGTAATACAGTACCGTTTATCCAGCAGTAATTTTCTCAGGATTTTACTGGGACTATTAGCAAATTACTGTTGGGGGGGAGGGGGGGAGAGGGAGAGAGAGAGAGAATAACAACAGACTATATTAAACCTATTTGGATTCTAAGTATAATTGGTTTGTAGAAAAAGCCAAGAGGTCTCATATATTATAATCTGATCAGCAATGAAGGTGGGTACTTATTATTGCTTGTACGAATAATACTTATACAAATAAAGTAGGCAGAAGGTGTTGTGGCCCACCAGTGGCCAGTGGAGATGGTGGCAGACTCAAACAGTGAGGAGGTTGGGGAGGAACATGGGCCAGTCCTGGAGTCTGAAGAAAGCTCTGATGAGTGCCCTGTGTCGGAGGCAGAGATGAGACCAGGGCCGTCCAACAGTTATCAGCTGCCTTCAGAGTCAGAGATCAGTGGGGCAGAACAGCTGGAGCCTGTTCCAAATGTGTGCATGCACAGAGCTGCCAGGAGAAGGGAACAGTTAAGGAACAAGAGTAGACTTGAGAGTAAAGGCACAGGTAGACAATGAACAGCCCCTCCCATAGGGAATAAAGAGGAGCGAAAGGGGGGTGGTGTTTGCAGGAGACAAATAGTTCATTTAATTAACTTGAAGATTTGTTCGTGACTCAGAGAGACTCCTTGCCAAGTATTTCTTGTTCAGCGTTGCACTTGGAAGCTATTGGCCTGGCACCTCTCCAAGCTTAATAAGGTCTGTGGTTGCAATTCACCCTTGAAAGACTGCTGGGACTTTGCTGGATATGAATGATAGGAATTTATATTAGTCAAATAAAAAGGGGTTTTGTTGGGACAGGGAGTGTTTCATGATTTTATGAAGCCTAGGTCAGAACAGAAGGGACCAATATGATGGCTTATAAGGATGTTATTTATCTCCAATAAAATTGTAAGAGCACACTAGAACTAAAATTGAGTTCTGGTCCTGTTTGTCCTCACTAAAAGTTGCCAAAATGGATTATTACTGTCCTTATCATTAACAAAGGTACTACAAATGGCATATCAATGTGACATATCAATTCATCAACACATGATTGACAGCAGACATCAAAATATATGGTCCATCCGGTGACAACTATGAAGTGTGGAAATCTATGAATTTAATCATGAGGAGAAAAGAGTGAGGAATATGAATTAATCCAATTAATAAAAGAAGTGAGGAGAAGGAAGACTATATATATTCACCACCTAGAGCTACTTAAAATTAATAAAGGCAGAATATAATATAACAACAATGATGATGATGTCATTTTAAAACAAGTACTGAAGAATAGGAGCAAACAAGGTTTCATTCTCTTTTGCTATTTTTTAAATAGCTAAGTTCCAGGGCAATTCACAACACAGATTAAAAAGGAAAACATAAAAAGCCAAAACTTATATTATTAATAAAAGTCTACAGCTTAAACTCTTTACCAATTTGTTCATTATTAAATAGGAAGACATTATTCAAAAGTAGTGAAAACAATAAAAGCAAAAAGATTGTTAAGAATTATTTGACATTGTATAACAGCATCCTGTTAAAAAACAGAAAAAAGAAATAAATTGAAAAAAATACTTTGAGTTGCAAATCTTTTTTTTCATTGAAAAAGGAGTCTATATAAGAACAGTTTCTTTTGTTTTTGCTTAATATTTGATATAGAAATCCTAACTTAACATTTATTTGAACATAAGCTCTAATAAAATCTGAACTATAAATGAATTGGTAAGTATATTTTGGCAGAACTTCTAAGAATATTGCATAAAATAGAAGATATAAAATACTGGCAAGGCTGATAAAAGATTTTATGAAAGCTTAAATGCCTTCAAATACATTATGAGATTTGAAAGACCAAAGCCACCATTCCCACCCAGGCCCCAGTGAATCTGCCCCAATGAATACCAATTTGCCTTTGTAATTTTGTTTGCACAGAGACCAGTTTTGGTCATTTCACATGTGCTGGACTGCAGTTTTCAAAATTTTCTTGAAACCCAGCCTTAGGAATCTAAAGAACATCAGATTGGTAAAGCTTGAAGCAGTCAGTATGAACCTTGGTAGTACAAATGTCCGCCCCAATGACTGGCTGAGTAGGCATGGCTGGGTGATCATGTGACTGGGCGGGTGTGGCCAACTTGTCATCATTCATCACGCTCAGCCTTGCCAATCTCTCTTTCCACAGGCCTTGGGCCTATATGCAACACCTCCAGAAATGAAAAGGTTAACCAACCCTCAATTTCCTGGTGTAAATGCCCCCCCTCCAGTAAAGCATTTTGTTCCCATCACCAAGGAAAGTAAGACATTGGAGGCTGAGCTTATTAAAAAGCAATATATTGTGTCATAACAGCCAACATTTCACACCTGTGGTGTCAGAGGCAATAAATCCCATTGATTCCTCAGAAGCAATTTACAGTTAAAGCCCATTTGCACCCCAAAAATAATAAATACAAAGCAGAAGGAGAAGGATTGACAATACTTCTGTGTAGGCAATTCTGAAAGAGACTAAACTAAAGCTGGATTAGTTCCTGTGGATGACTAAGGCCAATGGACCAAATGTAGGAAGGCATGCCTGCAACAGCATCAATAGCCCACTGAAGCTGGGCAGATGCCATGTCCCGATTCTGTCATTGTCAGCAACATTATGAGATTTGTGTTGAGAGAAGAGGGCAAACCAGCTAATGACAACTTCAAGATACCTCTTGAGCTGGCTGGAGGTACAGCGCAGATAATATCATAATGGCATGTTCCTCAAGGCATCTTTCATGGCAGTAAGCCCATAGCGTCTTTTAAAGTGTTGAACTATCATTGTATAAAAAAAAAATCTGAATAATGAAAATAGACTTTATATCATTTCAGGGATGGCAAGGTAACACTATGAAATTCATTAGTAATGGAAGAGCATCTGTCTATTCTTAGGAGTGAATATGTCTTCATTGTGCAAGTAGTTGTAAGATAAGGCTTTTACTATTAGATAACTGTAGGCACACAGCACTTCAAGTGCTGATGAAGCTTTGACCGAGTAATCCCTTGGAAGCAAAATTATGAATTATGAATTATTTCTAAGCTGTGGAACAGAGCAATCAACATGTGATTCTACATAACAAGTAGGTTTGGGGGCAAGGCTGCTGACCAAGATAAATAAGCTACACTTTGAATTTTTGCTCTGTGAAGGGTCCCCTGTCATGTATAGATCCAAATACTGAGTCACAGCAGGTTTGCTTTGCACATGAGTAGGATAGATGCAGACAATTTTATTTCACCATTCTGTATTATATATGGAATAGTAAATAGTGATTTTTCCTTCCTTCCTTCCTTCCTTCCTTCCTTCCTTCCTTCCTTCCTTCTCATTCCCATCCCTCCCTACCTTCCCTTCCTTCATTTTTGGCCTGTTTTTCAGCCCGTTTTCTGGACTGTTTTTGACCATTTTTGGGCCATTTTTCAGCCCATTTTTCTGGCTGTTTTTGCCCAAAATCAGCCCGAAAACAGTCTGAAAACAGCCATTTTGGGGGGCATTTTTGGCCCATTATTCGGCTGTTTTGGGGACTGTTTTTCAGCCATTTTCACCCAAAAATGGCTCTAAATATGGCCCTAAAAATGGGTGGGGGCAGGACCAGCCCGTGTGGGATTAGCCAGTTCACCAAACTGGGAAGAATTTTAACAACTGGTTCACCCGAACTGGTCAGAAGTGGCTGAATCTCACCTCTGGGAATAACATATTTCGGATAGTTGTTGCTTCTCTTAATTGGTAATGACGTCAAATGTACTTTGTACCTTCTTTATAAACCATACAGGTTTTATAGAGCCAGTTTGGTGTACTGGTTTGTCAACCCTTAAGATAACGTATGTTTGGCCATATTTTATTCTAGCTTTTGTCTACTCTTTTCTTACCTTCTTTAGGCTTTCTGCAAAAGAATTTAATAGTATTTCAGGCTCGCCACTCTCCAGCTGTTGAAAGGGGGGTTATAGAGATAAAGGGGGAATGTTATGTCTTTCCCGTGAGGACAGACAAAATGCCTGCAGCTGGAGGAAGGTGGAGTTTGGAGTCACTGGACTGATGGACTGAGAATTGATTGGAGATTGTGACTCTGGGGGAAGCTTCAAACTTTTGCTTTTTACTGGGTGTAATTCCACAATCTAACCAGGATCATGTGCTGATATAGTTATGTATAACAACATTAGATCAAGGTGGTAGTATTAAAATTTAGAATAGATGAAAAAATTAGAAAGAGGGGAAATATTATTATACATATTTTTACTTAACATGTTTAAAGTGAATGTTAGAGAATAAAATCAGATTTCGAAAGAGAATCTTTGCTCAGTAATTATGTTATTACTATTAGAAGGATGTAGCAAATATTGAATAATTGAAAAAAGGAAGGATTATGTGTTAGTACTGATATGTATAATAACATTAGATTATGTAAGTTTGATTAATGTGGTGATTATTAGCTATATCAATACTATTTTTGTACCAAAACAAATGATACTCAGACCCTACACTGTTCATGAAATGATATTGATGTATGTTTAAAAATTTAAAAGAACCTTTTAGCTAAAAAAAAACAGAGTCAGAATTATACCAAGTTCTTGCTAATTTGATATATTCCTAATAAACAGACTTTAAAGAAAGATGGATGTCTTGGATTTTATTTCAGAGGACATATTACTTGGAGGCTTGTCAAGTTAAGGAGCTAGAAACCAGGAGACTGTGAGTTATAGTAATAATTTAGGTATGAAGGCAGTTGAATAATCTTCGTCTAGTCATTTTCTCAATACTAGGAAGCACTCCATGACAAACAATTCCTTGAAAAAGCTTACTAAGAAAATTCAAGGGACTTGTCCAGATAATCTCTGACAATGGGACACAATTGAACAGAAGAAAAAAGTTTTGTTATAGGTCAAGACCATATTTTCTGCTATTGGATAGATAAGTCTCTATGCCTCTTAAATTAGTTTTTCAAACATCACTGCTAACTCTAGCTCTCATAATATTCTAACAGAGAATCATATTCAATCCAAAGTCCCAGTCCGTATTTGTATCAGCAATATTTATTTTCCTTTTTAAATCAAAATAGTAATGTAAAAGTCCTATTTAAACAAAAGGCATAAGTGTTGGTCTATTAATAATAGCAAAAATGCATAAAATGAATAGATACAATATAAAATTCTAAGGTAGCATAATTATTACAATGTGAATTTGGGACCAGGAAGTCCCATATTCAAATCCCATTCAATTATGGACTTTGGGCCAGTTACTTGCATTTAGTCCATACCACCTGTGATGGTGACAATAAAATGAGTGGACCTATCAAATGAGTTAACAGTGGGATCTATCAACCTGTCTTTCTCACTTTGGAGCTCATTTCCAGGTCCTTGGATTATAGAGATGTCCTTATTTGAAAAGTAGTATTTGCTGAAAAACCAGCATTTCAGTAGACCCAATTTTATTCTATTTTCTTAGAAACGTTTTCTCACAGACTGTTTGGATAAACAATACTTTAGTTTGCATACCACCATTGTTTTTATTCCCTGGTATATATATTAGCTATTATTACTCTCCGTTACCAGCACCAAACTACTATATTCTTTTTTGTGTTCTTAGCATTGGTGAGATTATTGGTAGAATGATGAAAAGTTAACTGAAGGATATTGTTCTGTATCCTCCCTATTTATTTCTGCATACATTGACTGTTGATACTAAATTCCATATGTGACCAATTAGGATTTTATCTACAAAATGAAAAATAGACACATTCTAAGACATTTCTGTACTTACCTGTAAATGTTTCTGTACATGGATTGACTCCTGCAAGGCGTTTAGAAGTTCCAAAATCAGAAATTTTTACTACTCCACTGTATGTATTAATTAAAACATTGTCTCCCTAAAAACAAATAGAAAATAAGTGTAATGTATTCAAATCTCCAGGAACTATGTTAAACAATCTGTCTGAATTCTGCCTCTAATATCACATCACTTATTCCAGATCAGGGCCAAAGGGCTTTTCCTTCCCTATCTCAACCTACTGTCCAAAGATAATCCATAGGGAAATGGTGAATGGGAGTGCTCCAGGTCTTATTAGATATTCATAGAAGAAATTTATGAAGATTACTAGCATTCGAGGAATGGTAACACTCCTCAAATATTTATTTCTTTAAAACTGCAATGATAACATGTGCTCACTTTTATATCTCTGTGTACAATCTGATTTTCATGGAGATATTTTAAACCTTCTAGTATCTGCTTGGTATAAAACTTAATGGTGGGCTCTTTCATTGGTCCCCATTTTGATCTAAGGAGTGCAGAAAGACTTCCTGTAGAAGAAAAAATATATAAGCTGTAAAATCAATCACATTATAAATGCAATATAATTTGATTTTTATGTATTTTATAAAGTTCTCAAAAAATAAGTACAGTATTACTGTTAGACAATCATCTGCAGAAATGCAATATTCACTAATCAAAACCAACATTTTGTGTCTGAATCTAATAACTCTAGCAACCTGATTCTTTTTATCTAAGATTAATTGCTCTGGATATGGAAGGACATCATGGATTTAGCATGAGATGTTAGATGTATTATCTTAACTGGACTGAGTCAATTGCAATATAACTACTGTATTTCCCTGAAAACAAGATTCAGTCTTATTTTCTTTTGGGCTTGAAAATAAGCACTCGGGCTTATTTTGGGGGAGGTCTTCTTCTTTTTAAGTGCAGGAGGTGGCAAGCATGGGGGTTGATGGGAGTGGGACCACAGCTACCGCTGGCCCCGCCCTGTCTATCCCACTGTTTGCTTGCCCACGGCTGCAATGGGCCAAGTTCTTGGCATGCCTCGGCTTCCATCCATCTTGCCCACTGGCGCAGCTACTGCTGGGACACTTCTTAGCCACAGCGCCTCATGAAGGCTCTTCACACATCTGGCAGGGCAGGTGGAGGCTGGAGTGTCCTGAGAGTTTGGCCCTGATTGAGGCCGTGGGCAAGCAGACAGTGGGATGGAGAGGGCAGGGCCAATGGTAGCTGCCCAAACACTTTTCGCCTGGAGGGAGACGAAGCTTGGTCTGCTTGCAAAGGGGACGGTTTGAAATGGAGCTAATCGCAATGAATCTCATGGTGTTCTGCCACGAGTGGCTCCACCGGTGAGATGAACCTTGCAGCTCTGTGCTATGAGCAGCTCCATTGGTGCAGCGAGCCTCATGGCATTCTGCCGCAAGTGGCTCCACTGGTACAATCAACCTCATAGCTTTCTGCCGCAAGAGGCTCCAATGGCAAGACAATGAGCCTCATGGCATTGTGCTATGAGTGGCTCCACCAGCGCAACAAGCTTCATGGTGTTCTGCAAGCAGCTCCACTGGCAAAATCAGGTAAGCTGTTGTGGGGCACATGGGGCACCTCCATTGCTCCCACCCTAGCTTGATATTAACACCTATGCCTCGCCCTACCTCATACAGCAAGACATGGGCAGGGCATAACTAGAGCTTATTTTTGGGATAGGCGCAGGTGTGAAAATCAGGCTATGGCTTGTTTTTGGGATAGGTCGCATTTTCAGGGAAACATGGTAGAGGTAATGTAATACATTTGCAGATGTTTAAAATACAAATAATTTGAGCCTGGGGTTCTTTCTGATTTCTACTTATTTGTAATATATGATTAAATGAATACAAACCACCAGGCACTTGTTCCATGAAGATTTTAATATATCCATCTTCAGAAACAGAACCAAGATACTGAACAATATTTCGGTGTTTTAGATATTTGTGAAGAGCAATTTCTTCATGCAGTGGCTGAGAATATCTATCATGAAGATATATAAAGAAAAAGAGAAGTCTTAAGAAAGTAGAAGAAAACCTTTTAGCCTAAATAAATCACATTCTAAATTATATGTGTAACTACTGTTTTTTAAAATAGTAGAACAAAGTCAGAGAATAAGCAGCAAAGGATCTGCAATGATTGATTACTGCTTCAGTAAACGTATGCAGTTAAATATGGTCTCAGTAAATTGAAAAACAGCATATTCTTTTGCTTCTTTATCCAGGAGATACAAGGAAAACTATTTAAACTAAGCAACAAGTTAAGAGAAACATACTGAATATTTTCATGAATTATAAAATCAGCTAATGTATTTTATTTTTCCCTTCCTATCTCTGCATATCTAATTGCAACATCTTCTAGTTCATTTTGATGATGCAATTTTATTGCATCTCCACCATGGAGCAATGTGAATTTGCTCTTTATTTTAGTTCATGGCTGTATTGGCAAAAGTATGCCAATGGATGAAACTATACTGATCTAGATCTTCACTTTTCCATTATCTCAAAACATTTATCAATGTGACTTTTCTTTCACTGCACACTTACCTGTAATTTGCTTACTATAAAGGAATGACTTAAAATTAATTCATAGTATCCTTCTTAGCATTTCATAATCAAGACATAGAGTAATTTATAATTTACATATACTCTTCGAAAATGTGGATAAATGTTAAAATCTGTCCTCAAGATTAATATACTTTCAAGAAGCATTAGGAAAAATATCAAGATTTACCTGCTATCTTTTTCTGGTACTTCTTTGATGGCTATTCGAACTTGATTGCTAAGATCTCTTCCAGCATAAACTATTCCATAGCTTCCTTTCCCTAATACAACTCTATCTCCATTCTCATTATAGTCATATTCATACTGAAAGCAAAAAAGAAAATAACATTCAAAATTAATCTTCAGAAACATCAAAAAAAATTGTAAAATCATCAAATTGATTTTAATACATGTGATTAACAATTTATTGACTTATAATTTAGCAAGATTTCTGGACATTACAAATCAACCATTTTTGCAATGTTTAATTTTCTTTGATGGCCGCTATGTAATTGAAAAAAACTAGTGCTTCTAATCAACAGAGAGAGTAGCTGATCAAATACATTGATGTGCCATAGTAGGTAAAAATGTTTTCATGTAAGAAGTGAAAAATGAAAAATGCAGAAATGGAATAATAGAAAATAGATTATATTCATGCTTGCTTATTTTATTTCTATATTCTTTTGGATCACAGGATATAGAAAAATCTATAACTGGGAAAAAAGTTTCAGTTTTAAAAATCTGGTACACAATGGCGACACATTCTAAAACACCACTATAGTGGCAAAATGTCCTTCAAAAGAGATGCTGTATGGACATAACTTACACAAATTATTCATTGAACCAAGCAGAAGTTTTGAATTATTATAAAAACTGATCACTTATATGTAACTGCAGTTGTCAAATAGTCACCCGTGAATTCACATACATGGATTATACAGAACTTTCAAGAGCTTACAGAAATGTTTGATGGGAATCTCATCTCATGAATACCAAATTAATAGGTGCAACTCCGTTCAGAACATTTTTGGTTGCTAAGGCCAACACAGGAGACAAAGTCAAAGCCTGAGATTGACCAGAAGGGAAGTGAAAGAAATATGAGTTCACAGATGAACATTCCGAGAACTACAGCTGCAAGCAGGTATTTGGTCTTTTATCTGTGATTCTTCTATTTATTTATTTGTTTGTTTATTTATTTATTTATTTATTTTTGTCAAGCGATTATAAGATAACAGGTAAAAGTATAAACATAATTATGAATACATGAAATGGATACATATAAGAAAAATAAAAAGAAACAATAGGACAGGGAAGGTCGGCATGTTGGTGCGCTTATGCACACCCCCTAGAGACCTCTTAGGAAAGGGGTGAAGTCAATAGTAGACAGTCTGGGTCTCATCACAAGGAGAGGGAGTGGGCCTTCCTGCACACACCATGAGCAATGTGACCAACAACAGCAAGCAGAACAGCAGCAGCTTTGAGGAGGAGGTAAGCGCAGCCACTTCCTTGGGGGAGTGGGGCTGGGCTGAGCTGTGAGGTCTTGGTGCCCTGGGAGCTTGAGGGTGATTGAGCACTTGCCCCCTGCTGCCCAGGGATCTGAGAAGCCTACACCACCATCCGGGGGTCCGTGGCCCAAGAGGGACGTCAACGCTCCTGTGGTGTACAAGGGTTTGGTGCTTGCCCTGGTCCCACTTTCCTTTGCTGGAGTCAGTAGATCCCACCCAACCCCACCCGGGCCACCACAGGCATCCAAAATGAGCGATGTTGAGCTGGCCGTGCGCCCTTTTCCCCCCACAAGGTCAACCACACCCCTGATGTGGCTTTCAATGAAATTGAGTTTGACACCCCGTTATAGGCCTTTTCTCAAACATTTGTGTATTACCTCGACTAACAGTCACCAACCGGTGGGCCACGTCCCACTGGTGGGCCGTGAGAAAATTTTGGTGGCCAAAGAGAACTCCCACAAAGCAATTAATCCCCCACAAAGCAATTAAATCCCCACAAAGCAATTAATCCAGGCTGCGCAGAAACACAAGGCTGTGCCACCCACATGGCCCGCAGGAACCCTCCCTGCCCACTCACTCCTTACCCGGTAAACTTGCCTGCTAAATTGCTATTTTTCCTTTTTCCTGACCATCATCTGTTCTGCTGTGCCAGGAGATTTAGATTAGCTAGGAAGCAGGAAATGGTTGGATTTCTTGCTTTCTAGCTAGTCTTTAGATCTTCGGCTGTGCCTCCCTTAGGACTGAACATTTGCTTGCAAGCAAATTCAGTGCAGACTCAAGGCAAGTAAATTTGAGAGACTGAGCTAGCTGAATGATTCTGTGAGCAACTCAATCTGCCTGCTTTGCCTGATTTTGGGTAAAAGTTGCTTTTTTATATAAAAAATTCAATATTTACATGCATGATGTATTGTAAGTTAATTTTGTGAGTTTGCTTGCTAGCAAATATTATGTGACAGACTGAGCTAGCCAATGGCAGACAGATAGATCTCTGAATAAATCTGTGATTCTGTGAGCAACTCAATCTGCCTGCTTTGCCTGATTTTTGGATACAATTTGCTCTTTTTTTTATAAGAAATTCAATATTTATATAAATATTTATCATATTTACATACAAGTCATGCCCAGCCAGTCACATGACCACCAAGCCACACCCACAAATTAAGCCACACCCACAGAACCGATCCTTGGGATCTAAAATTATGAGTTTGGTGGTCCCTGAGGTCCAAAAGGTTGGCGACCCCTGACCTAGACAGTTTATCTAGGTAATACACAAACTCTCACATAAAATCCATCTGTGTGAATCATAGAAATTGTAATAAGAAACACCTGTACTAATATGCATAAACAACAAAATACTCACTGGTAGTTAAATCATATTAATTATATACAGAGCAAAAAAATCTAATTCATATGTAAATTGAAAAAGGAAGAAAAATTTAAAAAATATTTCAATTTAAAAATGATAGTACTTTTGTCTATCCCAATGTTACTATTGTCAGTTTATTTCACTTACATTAACAATTCTTTATTAAAGATGTCTATAAGTTTCCCTGGAATAGGTCTGCAGTATATTCTTGAATTTTTCCTGAATTTCCTTAAGCTTTCTCTTTTCATATAGAGCATGATAGCAAAGTCCTTTTAAACTCTAATATGAATTACTGCTATACCTCACCTTTCAAACACTTTTACTTTTCATGCTTCAGCAATTCATTGTTTTTTCTTCTGAGTTGTTATATGATCAGCATTCTTACTCAGTAATAAAACAATGCCACACCCCATATTTTGTAGCTAAAAAGCAGTACAGTATAGAGGTAGCTTAAGCCTAAAAGGCAAATTAATGTTTCTCTGAATTTAATTTTAGCACATTTATTATGTAACCTCATATACTTATGCTAGGATAGCACACCCAAGTTTCTGCAAAATATCTCAAGACACAAATGTAAAAACATTGTGTGCAAGAATTCCATGGTCTTGGGATCCAGAACATAGGCATCAAGTCCATTTTCTTAAGCAATCAATCTAAATCAGAGTAGGTCAGAGAAAAAGGATTCTAAAAAATTCCCATAGAAATTTGATACTATAAAAACATTTTGATCTTTTACAAAGAATAAACTGATTTGTTTTATATGACCTTGGCTAAGGCAGAAAGATTGTAGTCAAACCTTATTTACAATTCAACAACAGCTGTTTTATTATAGGACTTTTGGAGGCATTAGCATCTCAAAGAGTAAACAAACAGACAAATCAACTAAACCCCCTAAGCCAGGGGTGTCAAACTCAAGGGTGGAAACAGGGAAGGACTGGCCTGCAGCACCTCGGTCTGACTCAGGCTGAGCAGGCTCTGATATGCAACCTGGTAGTGGCTGGCTTTACATCTGCAGTGCTGCCTTGGCCCTGCCCCCTGGGCTTGCGCGTTGATGAGCATGTGAGGCTGGCATCCTGGGTGAAAGGAAGCACTCAGAACACAGTCCCCAGGGATGCCAGGGCCTGCATGTGCTTGCTGTCTCCTGTGCGCATGCCCAGGGGGCAGGGTTGAGGCCTGGGCAGCCATACCACCAATGGGGATCTGACTTTCCACACTCATGCCCTTTCTACATGGCCACTTCACCTTCTTTGGGCTGGGTGGGTTTGTTGAGTGACGGCGGCAGCAGGTCTACCAAACTGTGGTAGCAGCAGACCACAATGGGGTCAAGATGCATCAGGTGTGCAAGGGGAACACGCTCCACATGCAGGCCATGGGCAAGACCCGTGAGGGGGCTGAGAAGATGACCAGCAGTAACCTGCTCTCCAGCCACAAGCCAAAACAGACAGTGGGACAGAGTCAGTGTGTCCAGCGGTCTGCATCAAGTGCCCCCCAGCCTTCTTCTGCTGCTGATGCATCTGTTGCGCTTCTGCTGGGATGGCAAGCCCAGTGGAGCCGGTTCCGGAGCCACAGAGTGCACCAGCTGAGGGGCTGGAATATATCAGCTCCCACTCAGAAAGGGCAGCGAGCAAGTGATGGCTGACTGTTTTCAGTACCAACCGCTCCATCCCTTGCATTGCCTCGCGGCAGCAGCACCTCCACCCCATCCCCTGTGTCGCTTCACCATACTTCCTGTGGGATGAGCGTTCTGTCTACCGCCCTACCGCTGGAGACCCCTGGATTCCCTCCCCAACAGTGCTCGGTCCATACAAGTTAATGCCAAGGATTTGTGAATTAATGAACAAAAGTTTATACTTCTTTATGCCATACTTTAGGCTTTCACATATAAAACAATTAACAAGTTATGAAATACTAGTTTTAAAAAAAGGGTCAAAAGTAAACCAACAAGGATCTGTTTATACCACAACTGACTTAGTCCATGTAGCCAGAACTCTATATTCTGGCAGACAAGATCTTTATAAATTTCCTATAAATTTCCTATAATATGCTCAAATATCATTTTATCTGGAATTGCTTTAAAAAATCCCTTTTGTCATCCATTTTCAGCTCTTGTTGTCCTTAATAAATCTTATTTAGATAGTTTGTTATTTAGCAATCTTAGTATCCCAGAGTTCAAATCATCAATGCAAAATGCGAAAGGGCAGTTCAATGCCTCCTAAGAGACAATCTAAAAAAGGATTTCCCATCCTTGGCAATTTTAACAGGCCTGGACTTCAACTCTCAGAATTTCCCAACCAACCATGCTGGCTGGGAAATTCTGGGAATTGAAGTCCAGGCTTCTTAAAGTTGCCAAGACAGGCAACTCTGACCTAAAGCACTACAGAATTAAATATTACCCTGTTTTTAGAAGTTACATATCGGACAGTTTTATCATCTTTTCTACAAAAGATAGAAGAAATCAGGAAATCAAGTATAAGGCAATTTGGGAAGCACAGATCTGAGGCTTTGAATCAAACTGGTTTCCTATATTCTTTCGTTTTGGATAAAGAGATTTAGGTATGCGAGCACTGAATAATACATAATTAGGTCTGCTGTAACTATTATTTCAAATCTATATAAATATTAAGCATATCAATCATTTAAACTTTCAAATCTGAAGGATCTTTACTCAAGTTTTGATATCAAATTATCAGCTTGTTTTCTATTATTAAAATCATGGGATCAATTTTTCAGGGAAAAAAGCTTAACTATTGAGGCTGATGAACTTTGTAAAAATATATAGATTATTAAGGATGATGCAAAATATATAATGTTTTGTTAAAGAGAAACTACAACTTTATTTTATAAGAAAGTCATTAATCTATAACTTTTTCCTGTCACATTGCAGGCACAATATTTTATTTATAAAGAAAAAATCTTATTTAATGTATAAAGGCAAGTACAGATTGACTCCTCTTTATTTGAAAGGCTATTTATTTCTTACATTAATATTCCTTGTATACATAATAGAAACAAACAGAATTACAGACCTGTTTCTTTATCTCAGTAATTGCAACTTACTTCTAATATATCACCATCAATCTCTCCTTCAAGTTCCAGGGTATTTCCTACAGCATCAATGAAGATCTCCTTAACCAAAGCACAGAATCTGAAAGCAATATACACCTCACAATCAAAGGCAAAAAAGTATTGGTTTTGCCTGCTCAACCAAAATTATACATTTTATGTATAACTCATACAAAGAAAATCAACATGTCTTACAAATTTCCTTACATAATACTAAGACAAGCATGATTTTGAATCCCCTAAAATGTTTTTACATCAAAATTACTCCATAATTTAAAATGTACTTAATAAATATTGTGCTTGTTATTTTAAATCAGAAAAGGTCCAAATAACGTTGTTTTCTAAGACAGAATCAAATAATAGTACTTCACGTAAATACTATCATCAACATTCTTTAAAATCTTTCATTAAAGCTAGAACATTGAAATGAAATAGAAATATAGAATGTTATGAATATTTTTCCTTACAATTAGAAAAAAAGCATTAAAAAACATGCCACCCATAATATATCAATTAATGGTTATATATTTTCATCACTTTTTTCACTGTTCATATTTATTGAAATTGATGTAGAATAAATAATGCAAAAGAAGACAAAACCTATTTGTTTTATTCCTTCTCATGCTGGTTCTGTATCAAAGTTTGTAACTTTTGTATGAATTATTTTGATCACTGGTAAAAGCAAAGCAAAGCAAAACAAACAATCCTCTTACCTACTACACTGACACTCTGTAGAAAAATAGATTTGAAAGTCATCAGAGTTGTCGTGGACATAGAGGAAACAGCATCGTTCATCAAATTTAGATATGCTGCAAATATCCAATGAAAATAAAGTTATGCTGGCGCAAGGAGATTGGATAAAGAAACAAATGTCTTCCAGATATAATATTTCATGATTTTGAAAAGCTTACTTTTAATGTTTTATACAAAGAATAACTTCCATGCCAGAGCTATCAGGTTTAAAAGTAATAATAAAGTTCCTTTCAAAAAGCATAAATATACAGATGGAACAATGAAAGCCATGAAAGATTTCTCAGCAGAACAGTGGGAAGGTAGACCTCAACTTACAATTCCAATTGAGCCTAAAATTTCTGTTGCTAAGTTAAATGAATTTTGCTAAATTTTATGACTTTTTTGCATCAGTTGTTAAGTGAATGACTGCAATTGTTAAGTTAATAACGTGATTATTAAATGAATCTGGCTTCTCCATTGACTTTGTTTCTCCGAAGTTGTAAAAAGTGATTACATAATCCTGGGACACTGCAACCATCATAAATATGAGTTAGTTGCCAAGTATCTGAATTTTGATCATGTGACCATGGAGATGCTGCAATGGTTGTAAGTGTGAAAAATGGTCATGCCAATTTTTTCAGTGCTCTTCAGTCATTATATGAACTGTTGTAAGTTGACGATTATCCATACATGATTTTAAAAGAAACTATTCTATTTAAATGTTGTAAAATTCACATTTCTAATTGATTGCAAAAATTTATTTTGATGCTTTTACTTTGTTAGGTTACATTGTTGCTATGCTAGTCATCTTCACCTAAACGTTAGGACATTTTCAGGTTCATGCTAGCAAAGCACATTTAAGTTATCTGGGTAGAGGTTTGGTTATTCCTGAGAAAGTGGACAGGTTCCTTGGGATGTTGAGTCCTGCCATTTGTAAGTTAAATAAAGAAAGGAGGCAGTTCACCTGTCGAGTAGTGAAAAAAGTAATACTTCCTGAAAAGCTCATCACTGGACCTGTGGTACTAGAAATTTTTTATCCAATCTTTAACCTTCCCTTTCTGGATAAGGCTGCTAGGAGGAGTATGGCTGAAGCTCCAAAGGAGAAAGCAGATTATTTGGCTCCTTGGCTCATGGATTTCAGACACAATATAGCACTGAGTTCTTATTCCATCTTGAGCCAGTCACTTTCAGCCCTAGAAAACAGGCAATGGCAAACCACTTCTGAAAAACCTTGCAAAGAAAACTGCGGGGATTTGTCCAAGCAATGTTCAAGAATCACACATGGTTGAACAGAAGAAAAAAATAATTTTGTTCAGAGATCATCAGTTATTGGTCATGTTTACCAGGATTCCAGGTAATATCTGAGAATCAGAATAAACACATTTTGTATGCCAGTTGTGCTCAATACCTTAGTCATCTGTCAACTGGACTACTGCAATACAATTTATCTGGGACTGTCCTTGGAAAGTATTAATGTGCAGATTTGGGTGCACCACAGTACTCCTATGTAATATTATTGCTATGTGAGTGGAACTGGTTCCCAATAGGTTCAGGTGCAAATCAAGTTGCTGGTTGTTATCCTTAAAGCTCTACATGGCATGCAGACAGATTATGTTACAGATGCCTCAAAGCCAGCAGGCACGCCCCTGACGTAAAATTTGACAGAGACCCCCAACAACTGGGATTCTTCCAGGCCCTCATTCTCACCTACATGTCAGAATACAGCCATGAGATTCCCACCAAAGGACCACAGCCAGATGGAGGATGATCCTCCATAACACAGACGCCCTTGAAATTAGAAACTTCAATTGATTCATGACAGCATTCCAATGGTGGTTTGAAGATCCCCTAGCCGATTGTAAAGCCAGAGTTCATATAAAGACAGTGTGGCAGGGACGCAGACCAATAGCTGAATACACAGAGGAATTCCTTGACCTGGCATGCCACTTCAACTGGCCAGAAGACATCCTCATAAGCTGTTTCAAAGATGGGCTCAATGATGACCTGTACAATGCTTGCGTCAAGAGGGGGGACCCAGCCCACCTCCATGACTGATGCATGCTGGCCGAAGAAGTGGAAATTGACCAGACCTGAAATAAGTACCACTCAGCCAAGACTTGGAATAAACAGGAGAGAAATGACCAAGGTTCAAGCCCAGCTGGCAACATCCACCACCTGCTTCAAATGCAGCACTAAGCTGCAGAGTGCTGTGCCAACTGCATGGCAAAGGAGATGGACCAGAGTCAAGGAAGCTGCCACCTCACAGGAGAGAAACATCACTGAAAGGAGGTCACAGAGTTTACCCCCGTACCCAAGAGGGAAGTGGGAACTCTGACCCCACCAGATGACAACCAGGGGCTAACTAATACTGACTCCAACAATGACCCCTTGGTAAGTGATCCAATTGCCCCCGTGACTTTCCCCATAGAACTCTACCACCCGGGATCAGAACAAAAAGCAACCCTGAGGGCCCTTCTAGATTCGGGCTGCACCAGATGACTAATGAATTCAGCACTGGTGGAGAAGCAGGGCATTTGGCTAACAAGACTAAAAATCCCAATCATATTGTATCAGTTAGATGGCTCAGTCGGAGGGGCACTCCTGCAGCTTTTGCCACTGAACCCATAGAGATGCAGATGGGAATCCATTCTGAAACCCTGAGCTTCATAGTAGTGCCAGGAATGGAAAGACCCCTCATTCTGGGACTAGCCTGGTTTAAAATATGGAATCCATATGTGAATTGGCGGAAGGGGCTGTTGGAATTCAAGATGAGTGGCCAGCCCCCAAAAGAGAAGTGACCAGTAGTGATGCCCTCCCTGCCCTATGAGCTCAGAGCAGTCATGCAAGGGGAAGCCCATCATCCCCAAAGAGTACAGAGATCTGAGGAATGTTTTTAGTGAAAAAGGGTCAGACGAGCTCTCTCCTCACCAACCCACAGACTGTGCTATTGAAATTGTACCGGAGGATAAGCTACCAAAACCGAAGTTATACTCAATGATCCCTAGGGAATTAGGAGAACTCCACTCATTCATTGACAGAAACTTAGCCCGAGATTTCATCCAACTGGCTCAACCCTGAGTGGCAGCCCTAGTCCTGTTCAGGGAGAAAAAAGATGGATCTCTTTGTCTTTGTGTAGACCAAGGATGTCAAACTCAAGGCCCACAAGCTGGATCTGGCCCATGAGATGCTTAGATATGGCCCATGCAGCTGCCCTGAAAACAGCGAAGGACTGGCCCACGGTACCTCTGCCAGCAAAAACAGAGCTTGGGAAGGCTGAATGTGGCCCTCCCAACCTCCATTTTTGCTGGCAGAGGACTGCAGGAGGATCCCCCCAGCCCTGCCCGGGCCACCACAGGTGCACCAAAAATGAGTGATGTCGAGCTGGTTATGCCCCCCCCCCCCGCCATGCCCTCTGAGGTCAAAAACAACCCTGATGCAACCTTCAATTAAATCGAATTTTACACCCCTGATGTAGACTCTTGTGGTCTGAACACAGTGTGCATGGAAAATGTGTACTCTCTCCCTCTGATGAAGGACATGTTGGCACTTGACTAAGCTGGATTTGTGAGAGGCATATTACTGCATCAGGATCAGAGAAGGGGATGAATGGAAGACCACTTTTAATTGCCCACTTGGTCATTTACAATTTAAGATGCTCCCCTTTGGATTTGAACTGCGGGGCACCTGCAGTTTTCATGCCATTAATAAATGAAGTGCTACATGAATATTTATATAAAGGGATTGCTGGTCTATTTAGATAACATTTTAATCTACACTTAAATGAAAGCAGAGCATGTGAAGCTGGTCAGAGCCATCCTCAAAAACTTTTGTGCCGCTAAACTTTATGCCAAGCTTTCCAAGTGTGAGTTCCACTAAGATAAGATAGATTACTTGGAATACAGAATCTCCATGAGGGAATTGAAATGGACCCAGGAAAACTCCTAGCGGTGCTACAGTGGACTCTGCCTTGCATGAGGAAGCAGCTGCAGAGCTTCCTAGGGTTTGCAAACTTTTGCTGTCAATTCATCTCATTTGCTCAGATAGCCCTCCCCATCGTGAATTTTTTAAAAACAAAAGGGGGAGATAAACCTAATCCTGAAAGCCGTTAAAAGTGATCAATGGAATATCAAGCTATAGTTGAAAAACTTAAACGGCTTTTTGCAGCTGAACTGGTATTAAAGCACACAACAGACCTGGAGAAAACTTTTGTCATTCAGGCCGACACCACTGATGTTGCAGTAGAGGCAGTACTCCTGCAAGAGAATGAGAAAGGCAGCTGCAGCTGTGCACCTATACTTCAAAAGAAACTATCTGAAACCGAACACCACTGGGCCATATGGGGAAAAAGAGGCTTATGCTGTGTGATGGGCACTCCTCTCCTGGAGACATTTCTTGGAAGGGAGCAAAATCCCTTTCCGAGTGTGGCCTCATCACAAAAACCTAGAGGCGCTAAAAATCCTTTGGAAGCGTTCTCCCAAACAAGCATGGTGGGCCCAATACTTCCAGTGATTCAACTTCACATTGCGCTACATGCCAGTGGGGGAAAACTTCCTAGCTGATGACCTGTCGTGGATGCCACAATATAATTGTTCCAAAGCAGAAATAATGAAACCATTGCTCCCAACATGTCAACTAGCAGCCCAAGTAACCACCAGGGCTCAGTATGAAGAAAAATTGCCAGTTAGCAATGACGTGGCTGCAGCCTTCAAAAAAGCACTGACAATGAGTGGTTTCAAGGACTGTTCTACCCAGGATGGACTGGGTCGAAGGGAAACTGTATGTGCCAACCAGCCAGAAACTCTTAATTATGCAGACTTGCCATGACTTGAAGATGGAGGGCTACTTTGGATTCATAAAGACCCTTGTACTTAATCAAGAGACAGTTCTGGTGGCCCTCTCTCAAAAAAGACATCAAGATCTGTTTCAAGTTGCCCTATTTGTGCCTCAGCTAAACAGCTGATCCTTACAATGCTATACTAACAAAACTGCCTTTAAAGACAGATATTCAAAGAATGTTATAGCAATCTAATTTATGCTAGTTCTTAAGTTCTATTATCCTGGCCAGATTTATAATGATTCTTATTTCACGTAGCATACTGATGAGATTTTGAAATTTAAAAATGTGAAGTAAAAGAATTGGGAATACAATATTAATTCACAGCCATAACTTATGAGTTTTGGTTCACTATCTGCAAGTCTTTTAGGATTCCTCTTTTAGAATATTTATACAATATTCTTCATTAAAGTTGTCTGTCTCTACTGTATGCGTGACTATAACTTTAAGAAAAAGTATTATCAAACTTTCAGAACACCAAGTCACTTGGCTAAAGACAGCAGAAAAGATTATGAAATACCATTTTTAATAGTTCAAACTGTACTGTTTATATCTGAAACATACTTTCTCAATCTTATTTCAATTAAAACTATGTGCTCCAGGTTTTTGTGTTTATAATGTAAACAAATATAAGATAATCCATTTAAAAGCAGACTGACCTTATTCCTCTAATAGAAGAAGCTGTAAAATTCCATTCATGAATTCGTTTCTGCAAAGAAATAAAATCAGAGTTTTGAAGCAAGACTGCAAATAATTTACTGAGTGGGCCCAGCCTGTAGAGTATTTGCAGTTTTGCCTTAGGCTGCTTAAGATAGCAAGGTGAAGTAATACACACCATTGTGCCTTATCACAAGTTCACAGGTACCTCCACCCTGTGGTTACTCAAATGGGATCAGAGTGATGTTACAGTAGGGGACCTACAGAATAATACAGTAGAATAACAGCTGGATGGGATCTTGTACTCCAATCTCCTGCTCAGGAAATCTGCTCTCCCACTGCTCAGCAAACCCTATATCGTTTCAGACAAATAGTTGTCCAATCTCTTCTTTAAAACGTTCAATGTGGCAGCATTCACAACTTCTGGAGGCAAGTTGTTCCTCTGATTAATTGTTCTAACTGTCAGGGAATTTTTCCTTAGTTCTAGGTTGCTTTTCTCCTTGATTAGTTTCAATCCATTGCTTCTTGTCCTGCCTTCAGGTGCTTTGGAGAATAGCTTGATTCCCTCTACTTTGTGGTAACCCCTGAGATATTGGAACACTGCTATCATGTCATCCCTATTCCTTCTTTTCATTAAACAAGACATATCCAATTCCAGCAAATGTTCTTTATATGTTTAGTCTCCAGTCCACTAATCATCTTTGCTGCTCTTGGATCCAGTCCAAACAATCTCTCCAGAAACATAACGTAATACTGAATAATACCTAGAGATGCAAAATACAATTTGCATTGTATTCCTATCATTTCCTCAGTGAAGGACATCCACAGGCGTTTCCAAGTTATGATATAAATGGATTGGAAATCAAAATTCCTTAAAGCTGAGAAACTGAAAAGTATCCACAGTTTATAAAGAGTAAAATTGTTTAAACTCTATAAACCAATTCAAATTCTTTTACAGAAATCTGCAATTAGAAAGTGAAACCACTGCAATAAATCTAATTTTGTATACTACTATGAATTCTGCGAAACTGAGATCTTGGGGAGTTCTAAATCTTAAAAATTGTGCCTAAAGAGCCTTACAATAAACTAAACAGGAATACTTAATAGTAGTTAATGCTGGACACTTTCTGTTTGCAACCTTGTTTTTCTTCTGAAGAATTAGGCATAAAGTGTACTTTTTAAAACATCTTTATGAAACACGCATTAGGAGCTCTTAAAAGAATAACAAGAATGTTTTCAAATAAATCATGTCCAAAGCATTAAGAAAATGCCCACCCAATCTTACCATTTCTGCAGGTGATACATGCCAAAGGGAAACTGTCCTATCATCAGTTTCATTATTGATTGAAACATATGCAGGCTGGTATATCTTGGTTGGCTCTATCACTAATACCTAAATAAAGAAAACTTGTTGTACGAAGCATGTACTCAAACAGATATCTAGCCATCATTCAATTTCAAAAAGAGGAACAGAAATTTTGCGTTATAATCCTAAGCCTAATTATTACAGACCAAAAAACACAATGCATTTAGGTGCTTTTGAATAAATTTGAGTAAGACAACTTTTTGTTATTTCAGTGGAAAAGACTTGCTTTAGTTCATATCATTTCTTGTACTAACTGCATTTTATTAGGTGTATATGGATGAATATATTACAGTTCAATCAAGCAATTCTCAAACTGGTAACCAATAGCAAAACATTAATATAAAACACTCTTAATGAAAAAAAATGAAATGTAGCACCTTGAAATTGCACCATTCAATTCATGACAGATCTCTGAGAAGACTGAGGAAACCAAGAATAAGAGAAGTTCAGTGATAGATTATTTCCTAAAGGTACAAAGCATGGAAACATGGAAAGGAAATCTTTCAAAGAACATCACATTAACTGGCTTCCGAGAAGTCTACTTGAGAACTACAACCTTTTTCAATACGTTTTACTTTGACTAGCATTAACTTTGAAATCCATGTGAATAAACTATTTTTGAGTTTGCCAGCTATGTGGGACTTGACATCCCATCTGGGAATATATGGCTTTTTGAAAAACCAATATGGTGACTGTCTTAATGAGAATGCTATTCTATCAGCTTGTTCAATAGACGATAATTTTTTTGTTGCTTCCAACTCAGTATCAATATAGTTATATGATTCACAACAAATTATACACAAATTATACCCTAGAGTCTTACTGGGAATCTTAATCCATTTGTTTTTTCTTGGGTTGCCTCAAAAATTATATCCAACCAGAAGTTCAGTCTTTCTTGCCTCAGAGAATGTTCTATGGTCAGTTTCTTGAAATGCTGAATTAATGTGAGATTTTGTACCAAGGATTTTAAATACCTGAAACACATAGATATAATTAATAAACAAAGTGTCCCACAGGTCCTTTTAAATCAATGTTGAAAACATATTTTTATAGGAATCATGTGTTTAAATAGATGGATAATAAAAACAACCTTCCAAAGTCTATTTTTTATAAAACATACTTTCCAATGAATTACTGCTAATTCTTACCTAGTTAGTCTGCTTTAAAAACAGAAAATGATTTTTTTATTTAAAATTTGCAGCCAAATTATCATGTGAATATTTTGGCAAAACAAAAAGCAAAAAAGACAATATAGCTCTATTGGTTCATGAGAAAAAAACTCTCCAAATCCACAACTAGTTGATACTATTAGTAAGACTAATCAAACCATAATAAATAGTTATGCAAACGTTTATGTTTTTCCAAATTTCTCATCAAGCAAAGTATCAAAACAAAGCAAAAGTGTTGGTGTGTATACAGGAATTTGGAAAAACAAATTTCTGCAAAGATTCAAGTCATCACAGATTGACCATCATGACTTACAATAAAGAAAAAACTCAACAAAACCTAGTAAATGTGAGCTACAATTACAAAAAATAGTGATAATACGTACCAAATGGGTGGTTTCAATTTGAAAAGTCTCTCTGCTGCTTGGACAGCTTTACCAATGTCACTGGCCAACATGGTTACAGTGAAAAACTGTCCAACATCCCAGTAATTGTTCATTTTTTCCAGATTCCCTTTTCTTCCCAATAAACTATTTAACCGTACTCCTTGACAAACATATAAAAAAGACAATGCTGCAAATGAATACAAGAATCCTATTCCAAAACCTAAGAGAGGGTGATGTGTTTCTAATTATAAGGATTATAATCTCAAAATTTAACTGGAAGGAAAAATTGTAGAGATGAACTCATATTTATATCTACAGAATTTAAAGCTAGAAATTCAACCATACTGTTGGCAATTGCTGTTAACACAGTAGCTGAGAAGCATTGGGTGTTTATGGCCATTCATATACCTGGATAAATAAGTAGAAGGAAACATCATGTGATTGGAATCATGAAGGGAAGCGGGGGGGAAAGGTGGATCCAGCTTATGAAATTAACTGACTAACACCACCATACATATTTTCCTTTATTCATTTACCTATTTTCCTCAGTTCCATGGAAGTTTCAAATTGCTGCCCTGAAACAATCAGCAAGACTGCAAGGTTAATTCCAGAATACAGAGTTGACTGGAGCTCAAACCCTTTACGATACCTGCAGAAGCAAAATTTAATCAAATGGGCAACACAAAAGAAATAAGTTATCAAATCTCAATATATCTCGTGTTAGATATTACAGAACAGATTCCATCTCTCTTCCCCCTCTTTCCCCCTTCAGGAAAGATAAGAACACAGACTTTAGTCATCTAATATAAGACAAAGAAAAGATGTATATAATTTTCAAATTGTATCAAACTATTTAAACAGATCTGCTTTAAAGGTAATTCTTTTACATTATTATATAATATAATAATGCAGTATGTTTTTCAACTGATTATACATTTTATTTAATTAATGGAATAAACAGTTTTACTGATGAAGATGCTGTCACAGAGAACAACCATCATAAGATATTCCAAAGTTAAAGTTCCAACATTCTATATAATTCCCTAAGTCCTATTCATATGTATGGCAATGTAATATCTTTTTTTAAAAAAAAATTCTTCTAGCTTCATTTTCCGCCCAGGCTTTTCGATTTTATTTCAATGGATCTAGTTTAGAACTGAGCTGACTGGGCTATTAAGTTCAGAAGCACTTAACAATGCTGCTTTGTAGTGTTGTTTTAAGAAAATATTAAGTATGAGATTTCAGTGTGTTGGAACTAATTGAGAAAAAGGAAAATTAAGATCATTGAGAAGTTGAAGAACGTATCTTAGAAACACAGATTAAACATTTTGTTAGTTAACACAAAGCCAGTTAAACAGAAGGGGAATTGACAGATTTTTTTTTTTAAATGGAGAAAGAGAATAAAGAGAAAAAAATATTGTATTTCAGAATCATAATTAAAGTTTCCTTAGACTTAATGGGAAGTTTTTCCATCATACAATGGAGAATTTTATGCTTAGGATGTGATGATGTGTACCAGTTTAAATTACTTCAAAAGCTATGTATGATAATAACTCAAAAATTCAGTTTCTGATAATCAAACAATCCTAGGTTGCCTTTGCTTGTTCTTGGAAGCTGTCCTGTAATATCTGATTGGCCACTGCTAATAAGAAAACAAGCAGCTTTCATTAAATTCAGAGGGCCTTCCTTATGGTTTTATATGCATATATTTTCTTATTCACTTTTTATAATGATAGGATACTACAGGTAGTCCTCGACTTACGACCACAATTGACCCCAAAATTTATGTTGTTAAGCGAGACATTTGTTAAGTGAGTTTTGCTCCATTTTATGACTTTTTTGCCAAATTTGTAAGTGAATCAGTGCAGTTCTTCAGTTAGTAACAGAGTTATTAAGTGAATCTGGGCTTCCCCATTGACTTTGCTTGTCAGAAGATCACAAATAGTAATCACATGACCTCAGGACACTTCATCCATCATAAATGTGAGCCAGTTGCCAAGTGTCCAAATTTCAATCATATGGTCATAAGTGTGAAAAATGGTCATGTCACTTTTTTCAGTGCCACTGTAACTTTGAATGGTCACTAAATTAAGTATTGTAAATTGAGAACTATCTGTAATTGGTACTGAATAATGAAATTCACTAGTAGAATACTCTCCTTTTCTATTTTTATAGTGGTACTGAACCATTCAATACCTCTTACCATTCAATGGCTTTGTCTCGGCTACTGTTGTCTTTATAGTCTGAATCAAGGAACATATCTTTATAAATTCTCCCACATAGGCAAAACATATCGGGTGCTGGATGATCACATGTCTGTAAGACCTGGAGCATCACTTTCAGTGCCTTTTCCCGGTCACCCATGATATTCCTTCTAAAATTCAGGCAAAAACATGGTTTAATTACACACATACACAACCCACATAGTTTTTGTTCCCAACAATGTGTTTATATTACCCCAAAACTGCACTTTATACAGACTTCTGCAGCAGAACGAATAAGGATTCTTGTCACACTCTAAAGATATTTATTATATATGTAAATAACATTCAACTCAGTCACATCTTTCTATTACTAACAGTTTATGCAATAATAAATTTGATGGACTTAAAGTGTCCTTGTTCTTCTACACCAGGTGTCTGAAACCTTAAACAGTCCAAGAGCCATTTGGACCCGTTTCCCACAGAAAACACTGGGAGCCACAAAACCTGGATGGGCATGGCCAACTCGACATCACTCACTCTCATCAGTCACAGTTTCTTTCTCCTGTCTTTCTCTCTCTCCTCTCTCCATAACATCTCTCTTTCTCCCTCTCTGTCTCTTTCAACATGTGACAAAGAAGTTTCATTAGTACAACTTTTTCAGGATCCAAACTGAAATAAGTGTTACTGTACAATATACTGTACAAAATTTCCCTGTTTTCATCAAGATAATGCAGCCATATAAAGAAGAAAAAATGCAACTGGCAAACACTCTGCAGTTTAAAAGATAAAAAATATTGTTAATGTATAATAGAAAGAAAGTTGCACATTGCCAGATTTATAAATAATTTAAGTATGCAGTAAAGTCAGTACACCAACTTCATGGTTTAAGGGATTCTGTAAAAGTAATAAATAGCTCGTCTATTAGTTTACCAATTAATACTATTCATAACATGCATTGCATCTTTAAACAGCAAGCACACTTTCAGTTGTTAGCTCATTGTTAAAGAATATGATAAAATTGAGGCATGAGTCAGGTCAGGATTTTATGAGATTTTCCAAATTCTCCCTCTTTTCTGCAAGATATAAAATGTAACTTTTTAGAACAAAGATTGAAATGGTATCAGGATTAGGTAAAAGAAGAGAAGTAACAATATTCTCTAAATTTTAGAATCAACAAAAAGCTGGAAAAGTCCAAGGAATGAAGCAGAAGATATTTGTTTAATATCTGTAAAAAATTTGTTTAATATCTGTAAAAAATATGTAATCAAGACTAGCAACTTTATTCGTTCTGCTACTTATTTCTCTGTATACATTTAATAACTATTTGTTACACCATTACAACCACGGATTACTGAATATTTCTTGAGAAAAGAAGCTACAATGTTGTCTTTTAGACTTTCCCACTTAGCAACTCAAAGGGTGTCCGAGTAAGTGACTGCAACACCCTGGACAGGACTGGACGCCAAAGATTGGTTGCACCCTTAAGGAATCTGCGCGGTGTAGGATTGTGCATTAGGGAAACCAACTTCTCATAAGACAGAACTGAAGACAAGGCCACTAGTTGCCAGAGAAGTATATTAGCTGAGAGCCCTTTGTCAAGACCATCCTGGAGAAACTCCAAGATGTTTGCAATCAATACAGCCGTAGGATTAAGTCCTAACTTAGAGCAGACCACCGCTGGTAACAGGGGAAGGGGAGGAAAAGTGTACATGAGGCTTGGAGGCCACCAGCTCCATAGGGCATTGGTCCCCTCCACCCCTGGGGTGATGAACCTGGTGAAGAATCTGGGCAGTCTGGTATTGCTTGGGTGAGCAAACAAGTCCACAACAGGCTGGCCAAACCTCCTTGTCATCTCCTGGAAGAGAGAGAGATGAATACTCCACTCCATATGGTTTATTCTGGCCCTGCTGAGCCAGTCTGCCTGCACATTGTCTATTCTGGAGATGTGCTCTACCCGAATAGACAGGAGATGGTTCTCTGCCCGGTGGCCCAGACATTCCATCATGAGGGACCTGGACCATGTCCCCCCCTTGTCAATTTATGTGTGCCTTCATGGCTACATTGTCTGTCATAAGTAGGACATGAGCTCTTTCCACCAACTGTTTGAAGCTCCTGAGGGCCAAACGAACCGTCCTCAACTCCAACCAGTTGATGTTCCTTCCCTGTTCTGGCCCTGACCACTGACCTTGCACTCTCCATCCAGAAAGGCTGCCATCGGTCATGATGACGAGCCTGATGGGCTCCTTGAATAGGTGACCATTGCAGATCTCCTGCAATTGCCACCACCGGAATGACTTTGTCACTGACCTGGGAACCCTGACCTTGAACAAGGAATGACTCCTGCCTTCCTTTTGATAAGGCAGGAGGAGCCCTGCAGCATCCTGGAGTACAGACGTGCCCAAGGAACTATAGAAATGCAGGACACCATCTTCCCCAGGAGCTGCAAGAGGAGGGCGAAAAGGACAGTCCCTTCTCTCTGAATCCTGCCTGCCAGGGCTTGCAAACTTGCCTACCATTCCTGGGAGAGAAAAACTTTGCATGAGACAGTGTCAATAGTAGCCCCCAGATAAACTAAACAGTTGGTGGGGGAGAAATGACTTTTCTTGATATTTATGGAGAACCCATGAGCCTGTAAGACTGAGATTGTAGTCTGAAGGTCCTTCTGGACTGTGCTCTCCAAGGGTGACTGGATTAAAATGTCATCCAGGTAGCACTGCACATGTATTGGGATGGCACGTAAATATACTGCTAAGGCTGCCAACACCTTCGTAAAGACCCGCGGGGCTGATGAAAGCCCAAAGGGCATGGCCCTGTCCTGGTAATGTTGCCCGGTGTAGTAGAAACGAAGGAAGCACTGGTGCAGTTGACAAACCCAGATATGAAGGTAGGCCTCAGTCAAGTCAATAAGTGTGAGGAAGTCACCCACCCGAATGCTCTCCAGAATTGTCTGGAGTGACTGCATTTTAAAACACTTGTAAATTAGGTGCTTATTGAGTCTCTTTAGATCTAGAATCGCTCTCCAACCTCCTGAGGCCTTTGGAATAATGAAGAGACTGGAATAAAATCCCCAAATAGCTTATCCCCTCGAACCAGGGCAGAAGCATGTTTTCACTTGTTTTAAAGAAACATTCAATGAAGCTACATAGCTTTATTTCAAGATTCCTATCTTGCAATTTAAAAAATTAGGAATAAAAAAAATGTGTAGTATTATAAGTAAGGATTAGAAAAGCAAGGGATGATATTTCACTCAGCTGTGCAGACACCAAAAGGGTGCTCCTTAAAAGATGCAAAGGTTAAATGAAACAGTGAGCTTCTGCAGGAGATGGGAAAACCGAGGCAAGGAAAATTAATTGGTTTATTTATTGATTTAAAAAGTTTAGATGGCGGCTTATTCCCTCATAGTGACTCTCAGTGGCTTACAAGCAAATAATAACGCAATACAGAATATAAATAATAATAATCTCCCACTCACCTCCCAGTGACAACATACAGTCAAATGAGCCATTTGATAGGTTCAATCCCACTCTGAGTTCCCCAGGCCCACTGGCGAAATCAAGTCTTTGGTGTCTTACAAAAGTTTGTCAAAGCAGCTATCAATGGATCAACATGATATTTTTAAAAGTGTAGCTGCTAATTTGCAGAGAACATAACAGCCCAGAACAAAATGGCTGCAAAGCATAATGACCACCTGCTGGAGGGAAGGGGGCACAATAGGGAATCATATTTGGGGCTCTCACAAAGATTAGAAAGAAGAGAAGAAATATTTTGAGTAGCCTAGAAGAGGAAAAATATAGTTGAAGCAGAGCAAAACTTCAAAACATGAGCTACGGATGCATATGTGATCAGCTGCGAATTGATGGAGAATGATGACATCCATTCCTGCACCCAAGATATGGTAGTTGGCCAGACTGATAATAGAAGCGAAGAATATAGATAAGCATAAGCAATTTCACCAAAAATAGTTGCTTGTAGAAGATACTGCCCAAGGTGCCACAATATTTTGCAAATTAATGGCACTCATGATTCAGCAAGGAACTGACACAGTTAGAGAACAAGTGATCAGTGTTTACCAATAACGAATATTTTGAGTAGATTGACAATAGTTTCCAAGACCCCTATCACTACAATAATTTGCTTTAAATAAGTGGCTTAAGTAGTTGAAATGGCAAAGCCCTCAAAGATATGTCTTACTCCATAGTTATTTTAAGCACCTTTTTTGGTAGCAAGTTATGGTTTTCTTCTATCCTGAGCATAAGAAGTACTAAGCACAGAAAATCTCGGAAGAAAGCCAGTGTAATCTTCAAAAAGACCAAATAGCATGGCTTTGCTTCTGGTCTAAAAATTTGAATCCCACCCCTGATACTGTACATACATTAAAAAAGAAATACATACATATAAAGAGACAGTTTGATGTAGTGGCTAAGGTGATGAATTAGAAACCAAGAAACCATGAATTCTGATCCTCTCTTAGGCATGAAAACCAGTTAGGTAATTTTGAATCAATTGCGTGTTCCCTCAGCCCATCTTATGTAACTGGGTTATTATGGGCAGTTGTGCCATCCTGTATTGTGCAATATAAAGGTGGGATATAGATACAATATTTATTTGTTTGTTTGTTTGTTTGGAGTTTCATGGCCACCCATCTCAGCAAGTGACTCTGGATAGCGTGCATCACAAATATGTAAATAAAACAAAATAATATCAATATTCAGAAATATTGAATTATTTGAAGTACCTCAACATCTCACAACCTGACTTTCAAGAAACTATGGAAAATAACTGCAACAATGTCCTTAAATAGTCATTGGTAGTATTAAAGAATAAAAAGAAATTTGCATTACTGCTGAGAAATGTATTCAATAGCATAATGTATGCAAATCTATTTTACTATTAGTTCTAAGCAATTTGTTCATGACAGTATCTTATACACTTGAAATTTATGTCTCCTAAACCAATCCCCAATCTAATAGTGTCCAAGCACTGTTTTCAAAGTAGAATTAGTGAAAGTTTATGACAAATGGCTGGAAATATATATATCAAAAATGCCAGTTAAACTGAATAAAATTGGGTCAGAAAATGATTTTGTTTTTAATATAAAATTATGGTATGAAAATTAAAAATTAACTAATTGGGAGGATGTTATTAGTTATTAACAAATATCTTGTGAAGTGATTATATCTTTCTGAAAACAACATCACTTTTCACAAAATACAGTCACATCATTTGCATAATGGCATAATTGTATAAATGGCAGCAGAATTTGGTCTATTATGTGCAAGTCCATTGTACTGAGGTCCAGTAAATTTGAAATTTCACTCTATGAAACTTTAACAATAAAGCTATTTTTAAGATATCCATGGTAGTTCACTAATTGCATAAAATATCTATCAAACATTAGAATAAAATATATAAAATGTTAGCTTACCTATTCAGTGCAAAGGCATAGTGAAATTTGATATTGTGCTGATCTGCCAAATCACAAGTTGGGAGCATTTCCAATGTCTCCACTAGTTTCACCATAGCATCATAATCCTAGCAGTAGCAAAGGATAATAAAATATTTATAAACAAAATTCATGCATCAAACATTTATCCTTTTTCTACTTTGCAAATATGGCTATGACCAACACTCCTAAAATATTTTTTAAAGTCAAGTTTTTCACTTATTTATATATAAGCATTTTGAATACAGTGTATTGTCCAGGTTAAGGTCTTTCCTCCCACTCCCAAGAGAGAACTCTAGCCCAGGACAGCTGACAGCCTTGTCCCTATGAGAGCGAAGGTGAGGCCAAGGATGACCCAGAGGTAAGTGAGGCCATCCACCCCTTCACCATCCCCCAAAGACTCGTGCCAAAATTCAGGAACCAGGGGGCTGTGGATACCTTAATACAGGGGTCACCCAACCTTTTGAACCTCAGGCACCACCAAACTCATAATTTTAAATCCCAGGGATCACTAATCGGTTCAGTGGGCATGGCCTAATTTGTGGGTGTGGCTTGGTGACATGTGACTGGCTGGGCATGGCTTGTACGCAAATATAAATATTTATATAAATATTGATTTTTTTATAAAAAAAGAGCAACTTTTACCCAAAATCAGGCAAAGCAGGCAGGTAGATTAAGTTGCTCACAGAATCACAGATTCATTCAGAGATCTAGCTATCTGCATTTGGTTAGCTCAGTCTGTCACATAAAATTTGTTTGCAAGCAAACTCACAAAATTAACTCACAACACATCATGTATGTAAATATTGATTTTTTTTATAAAACAAAGAGCAACTTTTACCCAAAACCAGGCAAAGCAGGCAGGCAGATTGAGTTGCTCACAGAATCATTCAGTGATCTATCTATCCGCCATTGGCTAGCTCAGTATATCACATAAAATTTGCTTGCCATGAGTCTGCACTGAATAATAGAACCTTCAGCCCTAAGGGAGGTTTGGCTGTGCTTAAAAGCAGAGACGAAGATCTAAAGACTAGCTAGAAAGCAAGAAATCCAACCATTTCCTGCTTCCTAGCTAATCTAAATCTCCTGGCACAGCAGAACAGCCGATGGTCATGAAAAAAAAAGGAAAAATAGCAACTTAGCAGGCAAGTTTGCCAGGTAAGGAGAGTGGGCAGGGAGGGTTCCCATGGGCCACATGGGCAGTGCAGCCTTGTGTTTCTGTGAAGCACAGATTAATTGTTTGGGGGGTAAGATTTTTCTGTGGCCTACCAAAATTTTCTCGCGGACCACCAGTTGGCAACCACTGCCTTAATAGAGCCAGGCTGTACCCGCTGCCTAATCAGTTTGTAGACAGTTCTAAAACTGGGAATCAAAGCTAAAAAGTTACCCCGTTCCATGAGGTTTGAGCAGGTCAACAGTTCACCGATAGGGAAAGCCCCACTACGCTCCTTACCAAACCAATAATAATAGAGATGGGTCAGTTCTGGGAAATCATCCGTTTTGTAGTGGCAGAAAAAATGACAGAGGCCATAATTCTGGGTGGGAAAGGGAGGGAAGAAAGATGAGGCTAGGGGTATGTCCCCTCCTTCTTCCTAGCAGACCTGAAGAGGGCACTGTCCAGAACCTGAGTGACACTAAGTGAGGCAAGCAGCTGAAGACTGCATTAGAGAGCCACCAGCCCCCCGCCAAATCCCCAGGGAATAACAGGACCTAGCAGAAGTTTTTAGTGAGCAGAATGTGATATACTACCCCTCACCAGCCTACTGACTGCACCATCAAGATCCTGCCCAGTGCTAAACTGTCCAAGCCAAAGCTATACTCTATGACCCTATGACTCTATGAAATGAAAGAACTAAGGGAATACATCAATAAGAACCTGGCCAGAGGATTCATATAGCTGGCAAAGTCATGTTTGCACCAGTATTGTTTAAAGAAAAGATGGAATAATATTATGCGTAGACTTTAGGGGGATTAATGTCATATGCGTGGAAAATGTGTACCCACTTCCCCTAATGAATGACATGCTGGCCCACTTGGCAAAAGGAAAAATATTTACCAAATTAGATCTGCAAGAGACATACTACTGGGTGTGGATTAAAGAGGGGGATGAGTGGAAAACAGCATTCAACTGCCCGCTAGGACCTCCAGGCAGTCCCTGCTATGTTCATGCAATTGATCAATGAAGTACTACACAAGCACCTGTACATGGGGGTCCTTGTGTACTTAGATGAAATTCTCATTTTTGCTGAGACCATGGAGGAGCACATTAAATTGGTTCGTGAGGTGCTTAAGAAGCTCCTAGCAACGAACCTGTATGCCAAACTGTCCAAGTGCAAATTCCACAAGACCAGACTATACTATCTAGGATACCTAGTGTCCAGTGAGGGGATTGAAATGGACCCAGGGAAAGTCAAGGCCATCCTGGATTAGCAACCCCCTCGAACCCACAAGTAACTCCAAACCTTTCTTGAGTTCGCAACCAACAGTGTATCCCCTCTTTTGCTGAGATTGCCCTCCCCATCACTGAACTACTAAGAACAGGAGAGGGAGGGGTTAACCCTGACTAAGTCAGCTCCTACAATGGACACTCAAATGCCAAGCAGTTTTTGAGACCCTCAAAAGACTCTTTGCCGAAGAGCTGAAATTTAAGCACCTGGACCTAGAACAGCTGTTCATCATCCCAGCAGATGTCAGTGACATGGCAGTGGCCACAGTTCTCCTTCAAAAAAATGTGGAGGAGGACTTGTAGTCATGTGCATACACCTCCCGCATGCTCACTGAGACTGAAAGGAGATGGGGCAGTATGGGAGAAGGAAGCTTACGCAGAATGCTGGGCATTGCTTACATGGCAACACTTCCTTGAATGAGGCACAATGCCTTTGGAAGTATGGACTGATCATAAAAATCTGGAGGCACTTAGGACCCCATGGAAACTGTTGCCTAAGCAAGTCTGGTGGGCACAATACTTCAATTATTTACACTTCACATTGAAGTACATTCCAGGAGGAAAAAAATCTTTTAGCTGATGCACTGTCACAAATGCCACAATACAATAGTAAATGCAAGGATTCCATGCCATGATTCCTCCCACCTCAGACAGTGATGCAAGTCCTAACCTGGCAGCAGGCACAAAGAGGGTGAGCCATAGAGGGGGGAGTCTGACTCAGAAACTTAAAGCTGAACTGCTATCTGATCCTTGATATAGGAACAACAGTGGGCTGCTAACCTCCAGAGAAGGACTGGCCTGGAAGGGCTCAAAACTGTACGTCCCTAACACCCTCCACCTTCAAGTGCTCAAGAAAAGCCATGATGTGAAGCAAGCTGGACACTTTGGGTTCAGGATTTAGGAATTAATGCTATCTTTGCTTTTGGTAACAAGTCATTGGTGTGACTCTCCTAGATGGATGATCTTCTCTCAAATCTATATGTAACTGGCAGAAAGTCAGAAGTGAAAATTAAAAAGTATCCTTTTAGATAATATCTTTGTAAGGGCAATAGATATGCAATATATATGCCGAAGGTCAGTCAGATTGCATAACAACTATTTATATGATTCACTTCCTCAACTTCAATTTAAGCCTGATGAATATCATACAGAAAGATACAACATATTGCAGGAAAAGCAGTTTTTAACTTAAAATAGATGTTCTTAAAGGGGAGAATTAAGATGAGAAACATCCATTTCATAAATGGGCAAATTCTGCATTTTCAGGTAAAGGTAACATACCTGGATATCTCTATAGGATAGGAGTAAATTTATCACAATGTCAGAAGTCAGGACTTCAGTATTATCCATACGAAGTTTAATCCTAGCCAGTTCTTTTGCAAGTTCTTCTCCTTGATATTTCTCTCTAGCTTTTCTGATGTCATTTAACAGACTTTCCTTATAATATGTACTAAGGAATTAAACACAATAGGAACACAAAGTTATTTAACAGATATCTGGCATATTAAAGTATAAAACACTGAAACCACAGACTCTGGTTTCTCTGCAGGATGTTTATACCTTAATGCAATTTATACCTCAGAAAGTTGTTGATGAGTATCTTCTGAACATAAATAAGGAATGTTATGAATGGAGAGATCCCATGTTTCTGTCTAATTATAATAAAAACCCAGTTCAAAATTCAAACTGAGCCTGGAAATCCACAACCCTGTCTTCTTGCTAACTTGACTAGTCAAGGCAACTAACAAAAACAAAGCAAAACAACATAACAATTTGAAAATTAAAATTAACAATAAAATAAATACTAAAATCATGAAACAATTCAAATCATAGTGAGGAGGTCTTTATAGTTTTACTAAATGAGAGAATGGTACTCCCAAAGGTGCTCCCAAAGAATCTCAAAGAATATTCCCAAAGAATAGACAGAATGTGACACACAAAATTCCATAGCATGGCAGAAACAAGTATCTAACAGGAAAACAAAAGTGGGCTATCTCTTCAAAAGAGCCTATTGATCTTAACACTCGGTCAGGTGCATAACAGGATAATGGTCCCTTGCATGATTAGGTCCTGGTCCATTTAGGACATTAAAGGTTTACATCAATTTCTTAAGGTATGCCTAGTAGGTAGCCAGCAATCTATATACAGGTAGTCTTCAACTTACAACAGTTTATTCAATGTCAGTTTGAAGTTACAATGGCACTGAAAAAGTGACTTATGACAATTTTATATATTTACAACTGTTCCAGCATCTTCAGGGTCACGTGATCAAAAATCAGCTGCTTAGCAACTGCTTAGCAACTGGGATGTATTTATGACAGTTGCAGTCTCATGGGGTCATGTAATCACCTTTTGTGACTTTCGGATGAGCAAAGTCAATGGCGAAGCGAGATTCATGACAACTGTATTACTGACTTAACTGCAGTGATTCACTGAACAACTGTGGCAAGAAAGGTCTCAGAAAGGGGCAAAATTCACTTAACAACTTTCTCACTTAGCAACAGAGTTTTTGGCTCAATTGTGGTTGTAAGTTGAGGACTATCTGTACCCTTGGTATACTTTGTTTAAAAAATAAACAGTTTTAAACATTTTTTAATATAACATTTCTTTTGAAAGTTACATTATGCAAACTACTTTAATCTTTTTAATTGCTTTTATAAATTCCTTCCAATGAGGAAGAAGAAAGAGTTCAAACAAACTCTGGACCTGCAAGTAGAATGAACTATGACTATCATTAAGTGTTGTACGTTATGATTCTTGATTCTTAACAAATGTATCTTTTCTTTATACTGAGAGTATTTACACCAAAACAAATTCCTTGTGTGTCCAATCACACTTGGCCAATAAAGTATTCTATGTTCTATTCTTGTCTCTATCCCTGATTCTATGCCATTAAGTACTGAAGTTTCACTTATTGTATCCAATCAATATGAGCTTTTAGCAGCCTTGGAAGTGGAGTCAGAATTGGAGACAGAAATTATAAGCTTCTCGCTCTTCAGATGCTACTTTCAATGTCTTATTTTAAAAGCAGAGTTTGAAGTTTTCTTTCTTTATGCACACTTCTACCACTGGGACAGATCATCAGTTCTGATTTCACTTATTAATATTTTTAAATATATTTCCATGTTACTAGCGTTAGTTTATTAGAACAGTTGCATAAGAAAGATACAACTTGGAGCAAATTAAAAACACACCAATGCAGTAGGCAGAGAAATATTGTGATTGCAGAACATCTTGGAGCTTTGTTTTAAAAGAAAAAAATAGAAAAAGAAATGATTAATAAAACCATTAAAGAGCGATAGATTACCCTGAAGTGATATGAATATCCTTGAGGAGGCTTATAAACTTGTCCATTAGTGGAACACAGAGTGGGCCTAAGATGGTATCCCAATTAGATTGGATGTACTCAGATGCTCTCCGCTGGGCATCACTTTCACAACAAAAATAATCATCACATGATGATATAGTGTATGGAATGAAGTGATAGTTGCCACTTGAAGCCTGAGGACAATAAATTAAAATATTGCGTATTAAAAAGAAAGCACAAGGAAGATATAGAAATACAATTTTTAAAGTTTCTCTGAATTTTATGCAAAATACAATCAGCTTTCATCCATATAACAAAAGACCATGTAACAAGACATGACTGCCTATGCGGGAAAATTCCACAATTTTAAATTTAGTTTTGTAAACATGAATTAAATAAGGCCTTGATTTAGTCTACAAAGTGAAATATTTCCTCTATGGTTACTGCAAAGAGGAAGCCTATGATACTTTGATAGGAATCTATGTAATCTTTAAATGGAATTCTTCACTCTTCTAAATCCAATGAAGCTAGTATACAGGTAATGCTTCTCATATAGTTTGCTTTATAGCAGAAGTCCCCAATCCCTGGGCCACAGAAGGGGTGGGCAAGTGCATGCACATCCCCAATTTGCATGAGCAGTGGACAGGTGCAGGCACTCCAATTTGCATGAGCAGCATGCACGGGTGCACTCCCCTCATGAAATGGAACTGCGTGCATGCACAGAACCATCCCCTCTCCCCACCCACCCCAATCTGCAAAGCCGGAAAGATTGGGGAACTCTGCTGTAAAGTGATATGAAAAACTATGCACAAATAGTTTCAATACAATGAGAAGCTTCTCCAAATACAGCGCTACAAACAATTAAATATGTAATGGTGTAAATGCTGAACTATTGTTTCACCCTTCATTTTGATCCTAAAATTCTTCCTACTATTGCTAAGAAAGGGTATTTAAAATAACATAGGCAACTTGGAAAGAAAGCAAGTTTGTCACACTGAGGTTTAATCCACATTAAATGTTAAATTCTCAATTGGTAATTGAAAAAGCCACATGGTCTTTTTTTTTAACGGTTCCCAAATGGGATTTATTTCCATTTGTCTTCTGATTACTAATGTGTCACAGTGCTGAGGTTATAGACCCATAGCCTTACATTCTTTTACCTGGACAGTTCACAGTTGAAATTGTGACTGAACTCATCTACATGCTATAAAATCAATGCCTTTTCATCATACAAGTGTCTGATTCTATGATTAGTCATTAGCCAGCAAGAAAAATAATCCATTCATTATCTCATTTTCCATGAATGGACAAAACTTTTTAAAACTCCCTCCGAATTGGGGATATCAGTCATCTGATGGAAGTGAATTACATACCGGTAGTTTTACCAATTATATCTTTCTTTTATCTGTTTTCAAAATCGTTGAGACCAGGAAGAACACCTCTATATTGAATCATTTAAGGCCTTTGAAGTAAAAAAAAAAACCCTGCACATGCTATATTTTTTTCCATATAGGGAAGATATACTGTGTACACCATTTTACTCATTTTGGTTACCCTTTTTGTTACTGTAGATATAAAAAGTCTGAATTGTTCAAGAACAGTACATCATAGCAACTCCAGGGAAAGGACGGTACCATACTAGTAACAAATGCCTTAGCTTCAAAGATGGTAGGATCAAAAACACATCAATAGGCCCTTTTCTTCCTCCTGTTTCCCTCTCTATTACTATACTATCCCAGGATCTAATCCTTCCTGTGGGGCTAGAATGATTTGTGAACAACTAACCACAAGCCATTATATAGAGGAAGTGTCCAGTGGTGGGATTCAAATAATTTAACAACCAGTTCTCTGCCCTAATGACTGGCTGGGTAGGTGTGGCTAGGTGGTCATGTGACTGAGTGGGCAGGGACAACTCAACATCCCTGCACTAAGTGTACATGCCCAAACATTATTATTACATTAAAAGCATACATTATGATACATGACAAAGAAAGTTCTTTGAAGAAGCAAACTCTCACATATTATACAATGACCTCCAACTTAGAAATAAAAATATTTCTCATTAAATCACCAAATGGGGTCTTCAGTAAGAGAAGAGGGACCTGCTTATATGCACCTCCAACTTTTGCCTGGATGAAGGCAAAGACAGGCGCATTCAAAAGAGCAAAGGCCATTACACCAAGGAGAGGAAAAGGAGAGAAGGCAGGGAAGGCAGAGGGCTGCTAAGTTAGGGTGAGAGTTAGGGTTAAGCTGAGCCCATCCACCCGCCAAGAGTGCATTGGCAATCGCTCACCTGGCTGTCATGACCACATTGTAAAGGCCAGGGCCTTTCTGCCGCCAGCCTGCAAAGGCTGCAGGCTCCTGCTCCCGGAGCCGCTCTCTGGCAGGTGGCTGTTCATCCCAGTTTGGGGCCAAAGGTTAGCTGGGAAACCTTTTTAGACTTTGACTCTGGTGCTGTATCCTGATTAAACAGGGTATTTTATTATTTATTATTTAAATTTTAGGGCTGCCCAACTCCACTGCAACACCAGGCAGTGTGAAATCACAAGAAGTGTACAAGAAAACAACCTAGGCACTTAAACCAGCCTTTTAGCCCAAAGCTACAGTTGCATCCAATTCTGGGGAGGACATTTTAAGAACGAAATTAAGAAATTGAAGCATGTCCATAGGGGATCAACCAAGTTGGTAAGTGACCTGAAGGGGAAGTTTTTTCACGGAATGGTTGAAAGCTTTGGTTTTATCTAGCCTAGAGATATGTAGGGAGATACATTTCAAGTACTTGAAGGTGAATATGGTGAATCCTTGCTTGGAATTTGGGACTGAGAGGAAGGGAAGCAGTAGGAGGGATATCCTGGCTTCCAAGATGCTAGGATTCCCAACTGCAGAGATTGCTTGCCTCTATTCCCAGCCCTCTCCATGGTGCAAAATAACAGCAACAAAAAAAGCTGCAGTAGAGGCTTCTGCAGTGTCATGCGGCTCTCCTGGGGAGGTAAGAGAGGGAGAGAGAGGCTGCCTGGCCTTCTGCTTTTCCTCACTGGCCAGGCAGCCGGAGCATACACAGGGATTCTAGTGTTTAAATCTTTTTGTGCCAGCAAGAAAGAGTTTGGGGCAACAAGACAAAGGACTTTCCCAGTTTCAGAATCCATGCGGGGTTTGGCTATCTTTCAAAAGCCCATGTCAGCAGTTTCCCCCAATGAACAACACTTCCATTAATAATTCCCCATATAGAAAGTCCTGATCTGCTGAACAAACCTGTCTGCCATGCCACATATTAAAGTTACCCTTTAATCTGGTTCTCGCTGGCTTCTTGCTTGTTTTGTAAGATTAACTTTCTCTCTGGCCAGGTAGCTTCTCTCTCCCTCTCCTACCTCCCTGGGAGAGCTGCATGATGCCATGGAAAGAAGCCATCCTGGGTGACTGCCTCGCTTGCACACCTGGCATCACACTCTCCCGGCACAGGGAAGCAGTTGACGTGGCACTATGGTGACTTCCGGTGGCTGCCAGCCAGAGAGCGACTCTGGGAGCAGCAGCAGGAGCCCACAGCCTCAGAAGGCCAGTGATGGAAAGGCCCTGGAGCTCAGCTTCAGGGCACAGAAGGAGGGTGTGTGTTGGGCTGCTTCTTCTCTCTGGGGCTTCCTCGCAGAGAGGAAAGTAGGAGGAGCATTGTGTGAGCTAGCCAACCTAGCCTGAGCCTGTTGGGGAACTCCTGGCCAGTCCCCCGTGAAGAAATGATCGCCTCTGGCCCCATGTCACCCAGAGAGGCTGGCGGGCAAGGCCGGTTGGCGAGGGTTCTGTGTCCACAAAGAGGCTGGGTAGGTGCCTTCTTCCATTCCCTGTTTTGGGCAGTTTTAGAAAGAAAGGGCAGGGGACTTCAAGTCAGGCACGCCTTGCAGCCTCCGCCTCGCCCACCCATTGACAACTCTGGGCTAGGCAGCAGTTCGGTTTACCCAGCTGGCCGCAACCTCCAATCCCCACCTGCCCTGCCCTGCCCTTCCTTCTGCAGCTGGTATCAGAGAGAAAAGTGAGCCAGGGTGACCCACTGCGGCTTAGCTCCCTCCGTAAGCCTGCATCTCACTCCTACCTGACTCTCCACAGCTGCTGGGTTTCAACTGCCACAGCTGCCAGCAGATAGGGTGGCCAGGGACCCTGAGGTTGTGCTGCTCATATTGCCCCTCCACCAACCAGCCCTCCGCCCAGTCAAGTTGTGGAATAGCCAGGCCCAAAAGATGGCCGAGCCTCACCGTGTTCCCCCCGGCAACCCTTTGGCTGAGCACAACAGGCCCGGAGCTGGTGTATCCCTCCCCCACCATCAGCCTTATCTTCTCAGGCCAGGTGAAAAGTGGCTGGGAGGGGAGGGGTGCCCACCTGCAAACCACCACCCACAAAGGAGCCAGCCGGGTTGCCATGCATCACTGGCAGAAGCTTGTGGATCATGCCGCTGTGTGGGGACTGGGCCTGAGCCCCTCTTCACAAGGCCCCTAATGAACGCCTCCTTAGGGCAGAGCCAGCTATGGACGCTAGATTGGCTCCCTGGGAAGCCTGTTGTCTGCTGAGGCCAGCCAAGGCCTTGCTCACCGCCTGCTGAGGTACCTGGTGATGGATGGAGTCCTTCAGGCACTTAGACTGGCTGCCTGTTTAGTAGCTCCAACCCCTTCCTTCAAGTGCCTTGTCAGAGCTGCCTTGGGGCTTCGTCTGCGCAGATGTTGCTTGCTTGGAGGGGGGTGGGGAGGGGCAGTTAGAGGAGCACTGAGATGCCAAAATGGCCTCAGGAGATGTTGGCCGAGGCGAGTAGAGTCTGGGAGGGTGAGGGGGAAGCCACATAACAATTCAATCAATTCTACGAACTGTGCAAAAAGTTAACAACCGGTTTGCCTGAACTGGTATGAGCCAGCTGAATCCCACCTATGGAAGTGTCCCATTGCCATGGCATTAGAACTAGGACTTTTTTTTTTTTTACAAGTGCTTCCTTTCAGCTGGCTGCAACTTCAGCTTCATTTATAGTTATTTCCCCATGGAGATATATCCTATCAGTTCTGCAGCAGAGACATGAAAACTGATTGGTTCAAGAGCTCTGGATATTGACTGAATTTTAAATTGGGGAGCGTGCCTGACATTACACATTTTAATCACTATTTCATTACAGGGGAAATAATATTATTTCCTTCTGCCTTTCTCAATTTTGATGTTTCCCAATGTTTTTGGCTGCACTCCAATATCTTGAGATAATTTGAATATATTGTAAACAAAGTTACTTGAGGTCATGTTGGGGAAAATTGAGCCAATACATCTCACTTTGTTCTGTTTCTTCTGTTAAATAAGTTTTCTCTCTACTTTCCAGTTGACAGCTTACACTACACATGAACAAACACCTCAAATCAATAAAACGGTGAGGGGTTTTTTCCTGTTTAACTGTGATGCCTACAAAAATGTTGTCTATATTTAAAGTTGCATAAACTTAAGAAAGAATTTAAGAAGTGTTAAAAGGACAGGTGCCAAGAAGGAAAAATGAAAAGAAGAAAGTGCCACAGAAGACCTATTAGAAACAAATTTCCATAAATGTGTACCCCACATGAAAATATCATATCTCTAACTTTGGATTTTTACTTAAGCAGATGACCATTTAAAGCAAAGAGCTGCTATAACTGTAGATGAGCAAGCTGAAACAAGTTTAAAAATCTTTGACCTAAGTAAATGAAAGGAATTCTATAAAATCTTTTTTTATAAACATCTTTTTCCAGTATGTGTACAGGGAATGTATGTATTGCAAACAGAAAATGACTGTATTTCACACATTAGACAAGGTAGATGTTAACATTAAAGAATGGATATATACCATTTGGTAAAATTAATAGTAATAATTAATATATCTGCTTATCAGATATATTGGTTGTGGGATCATATTCAATTCTTCAATTTACTAGTAACATTAAGAACCAAGGAGAAGAATTTCCATTCTAAATAAAATTAGAATGGTTTAATCTAAGAGTACTGGAAAACATAACTGATGTATGATTAAAATAGGCTATTTTTAATGTTAATTATGATTCTGGAATAATGATAATTTGAAAATGTTGGTACTATGTACTCTTTCTACATCTCACATCACGTGCAATTACAGAAACAGGATATTGGTTCTCAAGGTTACTACCCTAACAGCACTGGTGGCAAAGACTGATAAAATAACATTGCTATTCCAAGAGCACCAAGAGTTAAAACAGAACAATTTTTAAAATGTTCAAGAAGCGATTGCTTTAAAACTAGGACAGAAGCAAACTTATAGCAACATTAATAAAAGGTAAAGTAGAGTAAAAGAGCGATACGTACTTTGCCCATCATACTACCACTATGGTATTCTGGAGGTAGATGTACTTGAAGAAAAGATTTATGGCTGACAGCCTATTCAATATTGTAATGGAAGAAGAGAAGGATGCAGATTTTAAAAACAAGACACACGGAAAAGAAAAGAATTGTTAACCAAAAAAGGAAAACAGCAAAGTATACACATATGTGTTTTAGTATGCTTGCCATGTACGTGTACAATACAAAGGTTAATGGAATGTATAATTGCAAACATTTCTTAGGAAGCAAGAATATTAATTGGAAAACAGTTGCATTTAATTTTTCATGCTGAGATATGTCTACGGCAGGGGACTTCAAACTTGATAGCTTTAAGACTTGTGGACTTCAACTCCCAGAATTCCTCCTCCAGTCATGTTAGCTCAGGAATTCTGGGAGTTGAAATCCACAAGTCTTAAACTTGCCAAATTTGAAGAGCCTTGGTCTATGGAGATTCTCAATCACCCAGGTCAGTCACCCAAGAAGGAGCCTGGAGTGGCTTAGCTCAACTGTTCTGTACTAAAGCTGCTTGGTGCTGTGAAACTGAAACTCCTCTCCTCTGCTTGTGTTTTGCATTTGGAACAGATTTCTTTTCAGGTGGGGAGTGGGAGTAGAACTCCTTAGCATCAGTGTGTGTTAATAATAATATACGAAATACTAACACTCTGATGATCATTTCGAAACTCCTTTCTTTGTGAGCACCTAGAAGCCAAGAGGAACATACGTGCCAAATTTCAAGTTTAAACTAAGCTTTACGGTTCTGGAGTTTTTGTGATGATGTGTGAGTGGTATTTCACTTTTATATATATAGAAGATTAGTCTTTAAAAAAACAGTAGTAATGAACCTTGAATTTTATTTTAAGTAAGATAAAGCTTAATTTCATAATAGTGTGTTCATTCAAAACATATGTGAAACTACAGGCTTTTCCAATTTAGTTTAACTAAGGTTCAAAGGCCATAACCCAATCAACACATTAAGATAAAAGTTTGTATAATTTCTGTCCTCAACTCAATATACTTCTCTAACAAAATTAATATTCTAATTACAACATTTTTTTAAGGGGAGAAGATGTCAAATTATTATTTTAAATAATAAACATATAAAGAAAAACATATTTCCATATGCAATCCATAAATCTTTTTGCATTTGAAAAGTTTTTAAATGTACAACTAAGAATAAGCATGGACACTCACTCCAGAAGACTACTATATATCAAAAAGTTGTCCCTCATTAGATTTTGAAAATCAGCATTACTTTCTCCAAATCCAGCATCTTATCATGGAAATTTTAGCACTTCCCTTTAACTGAACATCTAATTCTCCATTCTTCCTTTGATTTACTATTGAATTACAATCATTTTTACTACATGACAATTGCATATATCTGCCAATTCAACACATAGGCAGATGCACATACCTGAATCAAACATTTCAATTGTCTTAATTGTATAGATAAAGCTAATATATGACACAATTAAAAGAAATAATTATCACAGCAATAATTATTTGATACTGAACATGCCATTCACTAATAAAAGTTGCTGTCCTGGGAATTCTTAGGGAAAAAACACTTTACCTCCCTGCAAAAGGAAATTGAGTTTTCTGGGAAGAGAAGTGAGGAGAACCTTCCTAGCCAGATTAGTATTGCTCTTACTGTAATATTATGGTGACTCCACCAATATATTGTAGTAGATTTATATGTATCTTTTGCATTTCTCAAGCCATCAATCATTTCCTACATCCCAGCAACCAATCCTACATATTATTTAAATGTATAATAACCATCTAGATGAAAAAGGGCATCTAGAACAAGAATCTATGTAGAGTTTCTGAGTTTGTAATATTGCCATGCTAATAATTACATAGTCTTCATTGAATGCTAGGCCAATCCATATTTTTGTGAATCCCCTCAGCTAATTTATTCTATCCTTCTTATTTTGTTCTATATTTCCTACTTGGACTAGAATAGCAATAGAAACAGAAATGAGATTTATTATGCATTATTTATTTATTTTATTAATTAATTTATACTTTGCTGGAGAAAATCTAGCTAGTGTATTTAATATAAAGATAAGGATTTTTCTACATTTGCATCCACGAATACAATCTTCACTTTAATAGAGACTATATACTGTATTTATTTCTAGCAAAAAGGGACCCCAAAAAGCAGATGTTGCTTTGATAGTGGCATCTGGCACTAGTATGCGCGCAAAAGTACAGAATCAAGACTGCTATTTTAGATTTGGGTACTTGGTAAGAGAATCTTCTTTACTACTACCCCATCTGCCCTTAAATTAGCTTTGAAAACCTAGGGCCTTAGGGCAGGGTGTTTGTCAGACTTTTTAATATTAGATGTTGAATCAGAAAATAAGTTTTATTATTCCCTTTGAATGACCATTATTCTTTTCTAATACTATGATGTTTCTAAGATGCCCTTTTTCAAGCAGCTCTAGAAAAAATACTGAAACGAATGAATGGATGGATGGATGGATGGATGGATGGATGCTGCATATATTTTCTTCATCATTTTAAGGAAAGAGATACCTAAATTACTGTTGTTTTTCCTTGCTCCTTTTTACTGCTTGTTTGAAGAAAATAGGTAAACAGGTAGCACCAACAGCAAACAGAAGGAGCAGGTCCACAAATATCCAAAATGTGTCAATGGGTGCTCTACTAAGCTCCAGCAATTGTTCATTACTGAAATTCTCAATGTCCAGACCTGAGGAAAAGACTATGGGAAATCTTGTTTATAGAAAGAATTATGGACTTTTACCTGATCATTACATCCCTGAATTGGCCATGCTTTTAATTCCTGTAATGTTTGTTGAATTTTTCCACAACAAAATGAAATAAATACAAATTTAAAAAAAAACATGACTGCAGGGTAAGAGGTCCTACCAATTCTATAGTATCCCATATATAAGTATTGAGCGAGGCCTCCAGAACCCCTTCAAATTTTGCCGTAGACCTATAACAGTCTATCTGATAAAGTGGACAAATATTAAACATATTGGCAATTAAATGCCCTGTACCAAACTCAACATCAATTAATTGAAATGAAATTTAGCTTTTACCCTGATCTCAGATATTTATTTGTCCTGTCCAACTTACATTTTGAATATGGATCCTGCAAAGTGAAATACTTCACACAAAAAGCTAGTACACCTATACTCTTGGAAAACTTAGTAAATACCTTCAATGCTCTATTGATTAAGTAGCTAATGTGAAAATATTTTCCCATCTGAGGCACACATAATTCTGTCTTTAGGTGGAATAACAAATTTCATAAAACAATGCTGTTCTCAACATTTTTAAGAGAAGACAATTTCCAAATGCAATGTTGTTAGTAATATAATAGTCTTTGTGTCCAGATTTTTATACTCATACCTATTTATCACAAACTATTTACAGTAGTACTTGTCTACCAAGTCACACTGGTTTAGTTATTTTTTAATCATTTAATCACAGTGGTTATAGTTTTATCTGCTTTTCACAAAAATACATATATTTTAATAAACTTTTTGTATCTGAATTTTTTTAAAAAACATGTAAACCATTTACTCTAATCACAAATTGTAATCATTTAAAATAAACTTAATATGTATTATACATAACATGTAGCATATTTGTACAAGTAATCCTCGACTTACAACAGTTTGTTTAGTGATTGTTCGAAGCTACAAAAGTACATTGACTGTTTTTCACACTTACAACTATCCCTCTAGTCGCATGATCAAAATTCAGATGCTTGGCAACTGGCTCATGTTTATGATGGTTGCAGTGCCCCATGTCACGTGATCACTTTTTGCAACCTTCTGACAAGCAAAGTCAATGGGGAAGCCAGATTCACTTAACAACCATTTTACTAATTTAAGAATTGCAATGATTCACTAAACAAATGTGGTAAGAAAAGTTGTAAAATGGGGCAAAATTCAGTTAACAAATTTCTCACTTAGCAACATACATTGTGGGCACAACTGTTGTCGTAAGTTGAGGACTACCTGTATAACATAGCCCATTCTTAACAAAGTTTAAAGAGGTTTAACAAGTATTTGACATTCATTCTTCAGCATATATTTGAATTTACAATTCTCTGAAAATTCTCTCAAATTAGCTATTCTGTAATATTCCCAATGAACATTTTAAAAGATAGGAGCTTGTATACTTACTGTGTTTTTCTGAGATACCATGTCCTGAAAAAAACAAAGCATGCAATCTTATGTAAGTATAATAAATACTGCCTTTTAAAAAAAATGATGCTACTGGTTTGAAAACTGAAAATCTTTAAATACTCTATGTGGATTTTACTATTTGATAAAAGTAATGCTGGTTTTTTAATGAGATAGATAAGAACTTAGCATATCCATTTGTCTTAAACGAAGATGAAGTTTAATTCTTAAATTAAGCTAATAATATTTTGCTTCATGCAATATCCACTTACAAAAAAATTCTCTTCAACTCTGGAATTTTATTTGAATGTAGAAATACATAATGTAGGAATACAATAACTAAATTGGAAATTTTAAAAAAACCCAAGAAGTAACATTACCAGGGTTTCGGGGTGTTTTTTTTTTGTTAATCTGATTATGACATATAAATTATATTTATCTATCATCTCTTAAAACTTTTCCTTTAATCTGGAATGTTTTACTCATAACTGTATGCTATTTTTAATATAAATTTTGTTATAACTCACAAGGAGTTATATAAAATCCTTTATCCATATACAATGGTATTACTGTAAAGTTCCAAAATATTGTAAAGTGACATAGTAGAATGAAACAGATTTTGAAGGTTGTAATTTATTAATTAATTAATCAAATTTATATGGCCACACACACAGAGGAAGTGAGGCTGAGCAGCATACAACAATGCAATTTAATTTCAATCAGAGATATTCCTTTCAAATTTCACCAAACCTCTTCCAAATTCACTGAATTATTACTATATACTGTAAATTAACAAATGCAGGGATTTTTATTGGAAGATATTCTTTGGGAGAAAAGCTAATTAAATTGTGGAAGTGGGTTTTGATATAAAGACTAACTTTCTAACTTTCTATATAAAAAGTCTGATACATACATCATTTATAATTTTTGCACTGTAATGTTATATACCATATTGGCCATGTCTGAGATTTGAGGTTTTTTGCCATATAAAATAATCTTGAATTATAATTTATAATCATAATTTAGTTCTAATTTTTAGTATTATTTTAATTAATCAATTAATGCAATGTATTGTTTTACTGTTTATAATTTATTACTGATATATATTGAATTATCCAAGTATATCCAGTGCAAAATTCAATACTTTTATCTTTTATACTTTATCTTTTGTTTTATAATAAAATAAATTTAAAATTTTTAAAAACATATTTTTAAAAAGATGTATCTATATTTATTGCAATTTATTATAGTACCATATTTTTAAATCTTTCTAATGTAACAACAGAATAAAAACATACCTTCAGTGACTGAGAAGTATCAACATCCGTATCATGGTAAAGTATAACATTATTGGCCATATCAAAGCTTTCACGTACCCCAAGGTGGTAGAACAGGGCGGGTTGCCTGGAAAAATCACTCATATCCACTACTGCAACATCTATAATAAGAGCATGGAATAAAACTTGGGAAAAATTGTACAGTATTATTTCTAAAGTTTTGGGTTCTGAGACTAAAACAATTTGTCAGTGAGACAAATAAGAGTTTTCACATCTGCTACAGCCCTTTTGGCAAAAAGAAATATTAAAATAACATGAAATAATTTCTGCACAAAATCCTGGACCTGCAATATAAACTTGCATGACTAGAGATTTCAGACTTCAGAGATAAATCAGTCTTGCAATTGATAAATAAAATCAAAGTTAATTTAAAAAGACAAAACAAAACTCAGCAATATGCTTTGTAATATTTGACAAAACTTCCTCCTCCCTAGTCCCAGATTGACTAGTAAATATTTTTCCACAGCTGATGACATATGGGGAGAAGTTAGAGAAACAGTTGGGGAAATTACCATCCTCTGCCTTAATAAGCCTGTACACTATGGTACTATGAAGCCACAATAAATAAGGTTCTCTGTGAGAGAAGGTAGAATAGGGGCTGGCAGTGGAGCCAGCAAAATTTATTAAAGTTCGGTTTTCTATTAGGTCATGGACTAATACATAGTATATGAAATTAGACATGTTGAAGAACTTTAAATTTGGATATACCCCACTGCTTCAGAATTTAAATCCCAAAGGGACTTTTTCAAAAGGAAACTGTACTTTGTTTTTCCTTGAAGATGTTTGAAGCTTGAAGCATTCTTGAAGCTTCTTGGATGAGAAGCATAATAACCTCAAGGAAAAACAAAGTCCAGTTGCCTTTTGAGAAAGCACCTTTGGGAGAATGATGATCTGGATGACTTAGAATCTCCACGGACATTTGGAATTTAAAGTTCTATTGCTGCATTATGCTATAGGTTTGACTGGGACATTTTTAATGGCAATATTGGTTACCATATTATTGTTTATTATTCAAAGGACTGCCTGCCCCCAAATTCATCTATTTATCGCCATTAGGTCTAGCTCTGGATCCCATCTGCTAGAAATGACATCTGGTGAGGCCCAGGAAGGGGATTTTTTCTGTTCTAGCAGCTACTCTTTGGAATATCATCACACTGATTATCAGAACAGCTTCAAGCCTACTGACTTTTCATAAATCCTTAAAAACTTGGTTTTATCATTGGGCTTGGGGATCTAAATATGCAAAAGGGCCTGTACAGCACCTAGTTGATTGACTCCTACAGCAACCTCTCAGTTGCTGCTTGTAACTAACAAGACTCTGATCAGTTTCACATTAAAGGCTTTGTTTGCTGAGAGCTGAGAGTTCATGGCTCACTGTGTCTGCTTATTGTTTTGTAATCTTTTTTCTCTCCAATGAATGTAATCCAGACATCTCTTTTTTCAAACTATCCCAGCATTTGGGTGAATATTGCTAAGGTTGGAGAAATGTGGGGGAGGCTCCAAGAGTTGCCCTTTTAATCCATTTCTTTGTGAGTTGAAATCTGAAAACCTTCCTCACTTGGAATTTTAGGGTTACTCCTTCAGATGCTGGAAAGGAAAGGAAAGCTGTTGTAAAATCATAAGCAGTCATGGTCATGTGATTTTTCACTTAGTGACCATTAGCTTACTATTCAAGTTGCTGGTCCAAATTGCAGTTCCTAAACAAGGCCTACTTCTATAACTACCATTTTTCCAATTCACACAATTTATTAACACAATAAATTTCTGTTAAACAAATCTGAGGTACATATGTTTAGATTTCAGGTTCAGAACTAATAGGAACAGTAATACACATGAAGACACACACACATGCACACATTATGGTATTGAATTACAATTTGTACTCAAATACTAGATCTATTATAATTTTCCTGGAACATTGATTAACAACTAAAAATAACAGCAATTTGTTTCCTGTGAATTACATTACTGTTAAAAAATTGCATCTAAACCTATGACTTCTATTTTGTAATGCTATTACAATCAAGATAATTATTAGAAGGAGCATGTCAGTCCTTCCTAGGTCAGGAAGCAGACTCCTCAAAACTAATTAGAATTCAATTTTATTGAGAAATAATAGAATTCTGAAGGACTGTTTTTACTTCTCTCTCTCTTATATTACAGGAACGTATGGCAGAACCAATCAGAGTTTGTTCATTTTTCGTGTTTTCTTCATTTCCCGTGTTTTCTTCATTTCCCAGGCTTCAAATGTGTTGTTAACTTTTCCTTGTTAAGGAAAACATTTCCTTAACATTTCCTTACCATACTGTTTTTTCAAGGTGATTTTTATGGCTCTCTACATATGGTTTACGTTACAAACAGTATAAGTTTTACTATTATACCATATTGAACTGAATCTAAATAATTAAAACATTATAGTTCTTGTCATTACACAAATTCAACTCCTTGCATCAAATAAGTTACAGAAAGAATGTATGATCAGTCACAGACTTTTAAAATTCAAACATATTCCTTGTCAATTTTAAGAGCTTTTACCAGCAAAAATAACATCTACCCTGTTATGGTTTTTACTGATTTCTTGACATAATACCCTTTAGTAGAAAGTACACATATATTCATATTTTGAAATCCTATGATTTAAGTAACTACCACCCAGAGTTTGTGTTGAGTGCTGTTGAGGTAATTCCCTGTAAGGAGAAGGAGCGCATACAGGGAGACGTATTTGAGAGTAGTGTTTGAATAATACACACACAGCACACAGATACACTGTACAGTAAATGTAGGTTTTTACTTCCAGGAAGGTTTAAGCAAAGTTCAAAATAGGCAGTCCAAAGTCATTCACAGGTAAATCAGTCAGTTTTTTCAATCCAGGGATAATTCAATAACAAAGTCCAGTGTCAAAAACAGTTCAGTAACAGACTTACATTAAATCCAGAAAATATCAGTCAATTAGGAAAAATGGCAATACTCTCCAACAGAAGGAAACAGAGACTCACACTCTCTTCTGAGACTAAGGCTAAACAACCCAGGTTTCTGGCTCCATCTTATGGCCATTTGAGAAACTACACCTAATTACAGTTTTGCATTTTCTTAAAGATACAGTTTTAAAATGTTTATTCTGGTTTATATATTTCTAACCCAAATACCTGTTAGGTGACTTATATTCCTAACAAGTGCCCTAAAAAATCAATGAGAAATATTTTTAACAAGGAAATGAAACTTAGTTGCCTAAGCTCTTTTTAATTTTGTTAAAAAAAATCTATGTCCTCCCTAATCATTGCAACAATATTGTCTAATTTTCATGTGATATAAAAATTTGCCTTATTTGTTATCAGTACTGGCTAGGAAAGACATTGCCAGCTGTTCAGCCTTCATGCTAATATAAAATTAGCCACCGCATTGGTAACTTTCTACACTTGTAAGCTTTTATTAAATAAAAAATGCTAGTATAAAATAAAATTGTACACTAATATATCAACTGATTCCTGATACACTGAGAACTGTAAGTTTTTGTTTAACTTACAAAGCCCAAAGATCCCCAATTCTGTGTTTGAATTTATACTTGCTTCTTTTACTACACTGAATTTGGTCCAGTTCTTTATGGTTGTAGCCATGGATGCAAATAAGAAAGGCCTTTTTATTTTCTTCTGGATGAACTTGCAAAGCTTACATCCTGCCTAGTTCTTCTGCAGGAGCTGCTTTTCCTTCTCATCCTAACAACTGGAAAACATAAGCAACAAATATTGAGAATGAAACAAAAGTAGAAGAGGACACTATACCTTGAAAAAATGATTGCTAATATCTCACCTCCTGGAGAAATATGAACCCAAACACACTGAGTTTTGTCTTCAAAGCACCCTCTGGATAATGGTACAATAACATTACAGTGAACTGGTTTAGCTACTTTCCTGTCTTTAAGATGATCTGTTCATTTTCTACCTTCTCCTCTTCTATTGGAAAACTATTAAATTATCCCACAATATGTTAAAGACCTTGCCTGTAAAGGTAAACTCTGCTTAATAAGCTTACAATATTAAAGGTGAATAGGCCTTGTGACTCTGGTCAGACTTTAGTCTCTGATCTAGCTTTTCTAATTTGCTCAAACTACCACCTATTAAACCAAATCACTAATTTCTTTCACTCATTTAGATCAAAAGATTGGCTATTTCATCAGTATAGCCAAACAATGTCACCTATAAAAATCAGAAAGGGGAGGAAGTCTTTCTTATAACTGTAATGTATGTTTACCTTATCTCTTGTTATTCTGAACATGTACAATTATTTGGAAGGCAACACATAAAATTATCTGTCAAGAGTACATTTGGTGCCAATATTTATTTGATGCCATATAATACACAGCGCAAGACTATCATTATCTATTTGATTTTCTTGACTTTTTGCATCATTCTTATTTTATTTATTTAATCCACCCATCTCAACAAGTGACAAATATTTTTCATATATTTCCCCTAGGAAATAAATCACATTCACATACTCTTTCCAAGAATGTAATGATATCAGTATGAAGACGGATGTAATTTCAGACTGTAATTCTATTCTGAATTCCTACTACATGAAATAAGGTAAATCTACTGGCTGTGTCTAGAAACAAGATATTTATCTCTGACCATGTACCTTTTTCCCACTGGAAGGAAACAAGTTAGGGAAAATGTGCAGAACTTCTTAATAGCAATTCCACCAGAAGTGGGCTTAGCCGGTTTGGACCAGTTCAATTGAACTGGTTGTTAAGATTCTATGTAGTTTGGCGAACCGGCAAATCCCACCACTGGGCTGGATGCAGGACCCGAGATGGAACAGAGGTCGAGCAGGCGGAAGCCCAGAGCAGGGTCTGAAAGGTGGCCAGCTTTGCCAGAGCAAGAAGCCTGCAGCCGCTGGTCTTTTTCAGCATGAGAAGCCTGCAGCTGATGGTCTTACAAAGGTAATTCTAAGGCTCTGTCCACCACTGCTTTGGCCTGCCTGCGTGCCCCACCTTGCAGTGAATGACATCAAGTTGGCCATGCCCACTCAGTCACATGACTCCCCTCAGCTATGCCCACCCAGTCTTTAGGATGAACCAGTTGTTAAATTAGTTGGATCCCATCACTGAACTCTACCCTGGGTCAAGGTCAACAACATTTTAAACCATTGCCTAATATTAATAGCCAGGTATTTTCTGGACTTCTTCCACCACCGCTCCAAGATCCAATCTAATTTGGTTTGTGTTTGAACTTATGCTGGCTTCTACTATACTGAATTTGTTCCATTTCTAACTTTTGAAAGTTGTTATACAGAAAGTTCCTTTACATAATTTCTTCTATCATTCATAGGGTTGGGAAAGAGTAGAAGACCCCTCCTATTAATTATGGGTGATACATTTTCCATTATTTTTCAACAAAATATTCTGTATTAACAGAAAAAATGATGAGTCCAAATCAGGAAGAGTTGCTATTCCAAAACTAATGAGGTTTTTTGCATGGTTCTCACATGAAACAAATACATCATATATCTTAAATCAATTTTTTTCTTGCTTTACTACAGAAATGGCTAACCTTTTGGGTACTGAGTGCCCAAAGTGCGGGGGTGCATGCGCAAATGCGTACGTACATGTGCAAACCCCCCAAATGCAATGAGTGCATGTCCCCCACCCCCTGTGCATGCGCGGCAGAGACCCAAAGACCAGCTGGCCAGCGGGAGGCATGCACGCATGTGTGGTAGAGCAGAACTGGGGTGACGGCTCACATGCCTACAGAGAGGGCTCTGCGTGCCACCTCTGGCATGCATGCCATAGGTTCACCATCACAGCTTTACTGAAATTAAACATATTGCAGTATTCCATGGTTTGTTTCAATTGACTTTGTCTATGCTTTTGTATATGTCAATCTCCACTGTTGTTTTTACAATTTAACACTTTTATCTCAAGCTGAGCTCCATCTGCATATCTGTTAATGCTGTGTTTTAGTACATGCAGCACAAGAATTCAAGAATAAGAATATTTTATGGCTTAGTTCCTTCCTAACTGAAATGTCAAAATCAAGTAGTTGACCTGACTTTTCCAATTATATTTCACAGATGAATTGGGGAAAGTTAATTACAGACCAGCCAATCCCAAATCAAATATATGAAGGAAAAGTACATGGCTCGAAAAGACAAGGGAGAGTGAGAAATAGATTTTTCATTAAGCAGATATGTTCAAAAAAGAGGTACGACATTTAAATAACAAAAGGGTGTATATGAAAAGGTCTGTGGACATGGTAGAATTAAGGAAGACTTGCAAAGATTGAAAGTTATGGAAATATGCAGTTAATGGTTCCAGAATAAATCAAATTTTAGTATTCTTTTCTCTCCTACTTCTACTTTTTTATTTCTTATAACTTGCTGACCCAAAAGGGTATGATATATATGTATACTTGCATTCTTTTGCATAATATAAAATGTGTTATTTTGCTACATACTTAGAAATATGAAGCGATTCCAATTACACACTGCATTTGAGCTGTCCAATATGTGGTAGTATGTTATTAAGAACCAAAGCGCTATCTGAGAAGGGAGTAGACTCTTCCTTTCCTATTACTGAACTTGTCTGGCCCCCAAAACGAAGCAAAGACAGATTTAGCAAATGTTTTGACAGAATACCAGATCTGTAAACTGGACTGGGCAATCAGAAAACATCTTCAAAGGTCATGAAAGAATCCTCCTGTACTGATGCCAAGAAAATTCCATCAATTGGTCCAGTCACAAGAATTCAGCTCAACTGAAACAAAACTTAATTTTCCCCTTCATATAAAATCATTTCCCTTTCTTCTTTTGAGCTAAATTCATGTATGGTCTTGCCAATTATGTAGTTCGCTTATTTCTGGCATGGTCTGTTGAACAATCCTAGATAATTTATGGCTGGGCACAGGATTTCCCAAATATTCTTCAGATTCTCATGTCTTCTAATCCAGGCCAGTATATAATAACTGCTTTCTTCACTGCTTTCAAGCTCCATTCAGAGAAGGTGTTTAAAACAGAAAGCAGTGATCAGAGGACAGATATTCTTCTTTACTTCCCATGTTAGACTTTGTAACAAAGAGTTAGACATCCTGCAAACCTCAGCTAAAAGGAACAGAGGAATAGAGATGGCCTGAAGCAAATCGAATGTGTATTAGATAACTCCTGCAACATTCATTAGCCAAGGTTTAGGAATAAGGATGGCTAGAGACCAATAGAACAAACTGCTGTATCATTACTAAATGATCTTATTATGCCACCTTGTCCTGTTTTCTGCTTTGGTGAAATTGTATAAAGCTTTCTTAATCCTTTGTTCTGGGTTCTTGGCATTTTGACCCCTTTTGTTGGAGCACTTCAATAACCTGCATCTCGTGTCTGGCATCCTTCATCGGCCTTGGCACCAGACTGAGACCCGAACTGTGGACAACACACATACCCAGAGTACCATTACTCCATCTCTATTGCAGGTAGCATACTTCTGAGGAATGCTAAAGATTACATTATTACCTACTAGTTTACTTTCTAGTGAGTCCCTGAACAGACAGTTCACAAATAATGTAAGCTGAGGCCAAAGTACCCCATGTGATTTGCTTATGGCTCAGTGCGCTTCAAACTGAGAGCCATGGCTAGACTATTTACATATTGCGCGACGTTAGCAACTCTTCACAAACACCTAGGAGAGAAAGTTTTTTATTGCAGACACCCAGACCAGAAGTGGTATTTAGCAGGTTCTGACTAGTTCTGGAGAACCGGTAGCAGAAATTTTGAGTAGTTCAGAGAACCGGCAAATACCACCTCTGACTGGTGCCACCCCCATCTATTCTCTGCCCGAGTCCCAGCTGATCGGCTGGGTCTTATTTGTTGCCCTACACAGGAGAACGGAGGTGGAAATCAGGTTAGTGGGGTGAAGAGGGAATGGGATTTTGCAGTATCCTTCCCCTGCCATGCCCACCAAGCCATGCCCACAGAACTGATAGTAAAATTTTTTGAAACCCACCACTGAGTCCCAGACCCAGGCTGCAAAAACCTCCTCAAAGGCAGAAAAAATCTGTTTAGTATTTGTGTGTGTGTGTGTGTGTGTGTGTGTTACTGTGCAGAATGGCAATTTAACCTTACATGCAATAGTTGTGAGGGAGGGATGTGCTTTTATTTACAGATACTTAATGTTGAGAAAAGCTACACCTTGTACGTTCGTTTTTCTCCACTACTGTTACTCTTGACAGAACCTCTCATGCATAGGTCAATCTGTATTTTATTTACAATCTCAAGATTATTGATCAATAAAGTAATCTCAAGATTATTGATCAGAGCTAAAAGTGATGTAAATTAATTAGTTTTCTCTGGTAATATTACACTAATAACTAGAGCATACAAAAATTTGCTAGACCAATACTCGAATACAGCACATCAGTCTGGAACCCACATTACGTATCTGATATTAGCACAGTTGAGAAAATCCAGAAATATTTCCCAAGAAGAGTTCTCCACTCCTCTACCCGTTGCAGAATACCTTATGCCACCAGACTCGAAATTCTAGACCTAGAAAACCCAGAACTACGCCGTCTTCTGTCCGATCTAAGTATAGTATATAAAATCATACATTGCAATGTCCTACCAGTTAATGAATACTTCAGCTTCAACCATAACAACACAAGAGCACACAATAGATACAAACTCAAGGTTAATCGCACCAAACTTGATTTCAGGAAATATGACTTTAGCAACAGAGTGGTCAATGTCTGGAATACTCTACCCGACTCTGTGGTTTCTTCCTCAAACCCCAAAAACTTTAACCTTAGACTGTCTACTATTGACCTCACCTCTTTCCTAAGAGGTCTGCAGGGGACGTGCACACCAATCGTGCCTACCGTCCCTGTCCTATTGTTTCTTTTATATATTTTTAAAAAATTTTCTTATATGTATCCATGTATTCATAACTATGTTTTTACTTATACCTATTATCTTGTAAGCAATTGACAAATAAAAATAAATAAATAAATAATCCCAGAAAAACCTTTTTTCCCCCGTCCACCTCCTCTCCCTGCTTGTTTTCAAGAATCTAGTGACAGTCAGCAGACCCGAGACGCGACCTGCTGTTTCCCATGATAGCTGGTGCCCCACCTAAGAGCTCTTACGAGTCAAGTCCGACCTGCCTGTCATCGTAGACAGCCGAAACGCTCTCGGAGCGTCTGGGAAGTCTACCCTTTCTCCTCTCCCCGCCGCCGGCTACTCACCCGCGTCGTAGAAGATGTCCAGCACGGCCGTTTCGCCGAAGTCCAGCTCTCCGAAGTTGACGGTGGTCAGCTGAGCTCCGGCGGCCTCACAAGCTCGCACCAAGCACAGCAACGCTCCAACTTCGGGACTTCGCGACCCGGAGCTTCCTTTCGGATTCTCGTTGACCACATACACGGCTCGGAGCGACCGCGAGCGTGTGCTCGCCTCTCCGCCGCCGTCAGCAACGACTCCCGGGGTCCCTTCGGAAGCTGCAAATGCTTCGGCGCCGTTCGGAGGGCTGACCTGCTCGGCGTTCCCGCTAAGTCCCGGCTGCTCGCCGCTAATCACGTAGTTTTCCATGGGGCCTGGTAGCCGGTGCTACATGGGCCGGAACCCCGCGCGCCCGCCTAGAGTCCTCTTCTTCTAAGGCTGCAGGGCGCCAAGCGAGAGGGGCGGCCGAACCGGGCAAGAAGCAACTTTTCCGGCGTGTAGCTGAAAGTGGAGGGAAGGAGAGAACGGCGGCACGCTAGGCGGTGCCTTTCTCCCGCTGCCCAGCTCAGCTCGCCTACTATTTGGAACCGAGCTTCTGAAGCTTCAGGGAACGCGCCTGTCGCTTAAGAAGCGAAATAGGTTGCCGGCTGTCGCCTGCCAGAACCTTGCTTCTAAAAGCGGTTCTCGGAGCAGGACTGGCGTCAGCACCTGCCTCGCCCTCCTCCGTTTAGCCTCTCTCACCCGGACGGTGCCAGGCGCCGGCGGTTATTGATGCCCGGCTGAGTTTGAGGGGTTTAAAAGAGGCGGAGTACGGGCGCAATTAAGGGGCGGGGGAGGAAAGTCGCCTCGGCTCCTCCTAAGCCCTGGAGGAAGGCCTGCTGCCTTTCCACCCGCTGTGCGTTGTTCCCAACCTCTGACCCTCATGAACAGTTGTCGTTAGACCGGTTTCAGTTATTCTAGGAATGGTTAGTGGGTATCCCCGCGATGGAATCTTATAATGTGGTCGTTATTATTATTATTATCTTTAAAGAGATTTGACTAGGCCTGATGGCTTTCAAACTACTAAAACCGGCAATTTCAAAATAGGAAGTTGCAATAGGTTTCTGATGCAAACTGGAGCTGCAAAAAAGATGACGGTGCAAAGACAAAGTAGTTTAACTGTTGGCGTTTCCTGCCCCTATTCAGAAAAATTCAAAACTGCACCTCCAAACCATAATCAAACTACTGCAGTAACAACCTTATATTGTAGAACTATGAGAAATACTTCATCAAAGGCAGCTCATGCAAATTCTCTTCAAATACATTCATTAGCTTCCATTAGAGCTTCAGATATGTGAATATTAAATATAAAACATTATTTTAATGGTACTCTACAGATCAACAAGAGTTTTATTTAACATTTGGAATCAATTAAGGGAGACATAACCACTTGTTAATTTTTTCAATTCTTTGTCTTCACAAAGGTGGAAAGGTAAGATTAGTTTTCTTCATCTATTTTTGTGGATTTCTCTTTAATCTTCCCATTGTGATGAAAGAGTAGATTGTTGCATTGGTTAATGATATTAATATGAATTATTTAATTGATCTGTTAGTTTTGCAAATGAAGCCTTTTGGTTTGCTAGTAAAATTATGTGAAAGCCAATTTTAATTCGATAAAAATACTGCATCCTTTCCCAAAAAGAAAATGAAAAGTGGGAAATCTGGTTTATTTGACCAAAAGTGGCATAACTTTTTCTAAGTTTAAAATCGTGCTACTGCTATCTCAATCAGTCTATATTTACCTTCCCTTTTGAGGTAGCAATTATACTGAGGACAGAGATTATAGTCTGTCTCTCATTTATCAGAGAACCAGTGTCTTTCTCCTGTGTTGACCAAGTATGTTCATGGCTGTGAACTCAAGGGCTGCCTCTAGCTATTGGTCCAAAGAAGGCAAATTAATTTGCCCTAGCAGCATGAAGTTTGACAAGTCCATTATAATGAGGTAGCAGTTCAGGAAAGATACTATTTTTTCAGCAAGAAAATGCATACAGTCATGACAGTTTGTTCCTACAGCCCAGTTGCAGAAACAAGGCCTCACATCTAGTTGTCTGTGATGAAATGTCTAGCATGCATTGGGTGCATTGGGTAGGAAACAGGAAGCATGCAAAAAAGACAACTCAGCCAGTATAGTGGGCAAATATGTTAAAGAGATTTGGACTCTCAAGACTCTGCCTTAATTATGCTAGACTGATTTGGAGAATTGATTCAGCAGATTTTCAGAATTGCTACATTAATAGTTACATTATTTCTCACAATACTAGACAACACAATATCAATAGTAGAGACCTTCAAGTTTGTAAGTTATATCATATCTCAAGACTTAAAATGGACATCTAACATCAAAAATGTCATCAAAAAAGCACAACAAAGAAGGTTCTTTTTGTGCCAACTCAGAAAGCTCAGACTGCCCAAGGAGCTGCTGATCCAGTTCTACAGAGGAATGATTGAGTCTGTCATCTGCACCTCTATAACTGTCTGGTTTGGCTCTGCAATCAAACAAGACAGACAAAGACTTCAATGGACAATTAGAACTGCAGAAAAAAACAGTTGCTACCAACTTGCCTTCCATTGAGGACCTATATACTGCAAGAGTCAAAAAGAGGCTGCGAAAATATCTACAGACCCCTCACATCCTGGACATAAATTGTTTCAATTTCTACCCTCAAAACTATGTCAGAACACTGCACACCATAACAACTAGACACAAGGACAGTTTTTCCCTGCATCCCGTCACTCTGCTAAACAACTAATTCCCACGACACTGTCAAACTATTTACTAAGATGTACTACTATTATTCTTCTCATCCTTCCTATTACCTGTCTCCTTTTCTACATATGACTATGTTTTTGCTTGTATCCTACAATCTATATTGTTTAGTTTCCTAGTATGATTTTGATTGCTTATTTAGTATCCTATAACTATCACTAAGTGTTGTATCTTATAATTCATGATGAAATTATGATTACTATAATCATGACTTATATCTTTCATCACTTATATCTTTATGTACCCTGAGAGCTAATGCACCGAAGAGAAATTCCTTGTGTGTTCAATCACACTTAGATAATAAAGATTTCTATTCTATTAATGTATCCAAGTGATTTTTGTTTCCTGCATTTGACAGCATCACAGGTTTAATATTATCTGAGCATCAATAACTTCACTTACTACTATTTCTGACACTTTCCAACTCTTCTCTCTGCCATGAACACATGGTTGATGCCAGATCAGAAACCCAAACAAGCTCATTTCCAGGAGGAGAAAGCCCCCCCACCCCCCAAGTCATTCAGATCTCAATGATAAAAATGTCCATCTTTCATCTAGAATCAAATCACAGATGAGTTTTTAAAAAAATAAGATCTGGCAGCAGCCGTAACCCAAAGCTCCCAATGCTCAGTCAATCTGGATGCTAAACTAAAGGGGTGGCTTCAGATTTTTAATCCTGAGATCATTCTTGCACCATGTTTCTTTTGCTAGCAACCACCATCTTTCTTGGCTCAAATCCCTGATGATATCTAAATAGTTTATCCTATAACTATTTAAAACTCTCATTTTAAATTGTTTGTTTGAAATTTTATTGGTAATATGTATTTGAACCTGTACGTTGATATGGCCCATAGGTTAGTCAATCAATCTCTCCCTCTCTAAGCAATTACCCATCTCTCATCTCCATTCATATACCTACAACTATTTCATTGGTATCTTCACTTAGTTACTGCATGTCCAGTTACACTTGCTTAGGTACATATTACACTGAGCTTAGAAACAATATTTAGATTGCAAAATAATATTTTGACTTGTTTTATCTGGAAGATAAAAGTGGAAGATAATCTAGAGAAACTAAAATAATATTTGCGTGTGATAAAACCAATGTAAAGTTTTATTCTATTAGATAATACAACAATTTAAATATGAAATTAAGAAATAAAAGAATAAATGGAACTAACATTAACTGCTCCTTTCTATCTTCTGAACACAATTTAGTCAATTCAAAGAAACTTTTTTTCCAAAATTATGTTTACCCAGGTCTGAAATGACAACTTATTTTAAAAACTTGAAAATATAATTTTACTGTAAAATACTTTCCATATGTAAATATGTGAAACAAATATTCCAATTCCAAAAAAAAATCAATGCACTGAACAAAGAATTTCCATAAAATCTCATTTAATCTTATTTTACAAATCACAATACATTGGACTTCTCAATACAGGTTTATAAAATGACAATTTACCAACATAACAGGAAGAGGAAAAAGGAATTAGAACCCTGATTTCAGGTCAATCAACGCTGAACTCATTTTTTCTTTTAAAATAAGATTTTAAAATATTTTAGTTTTCAAGGCTCTATCTTTGAATCTATATTGTAACAATTCACAGTAAGTTTTTCAAGTGAATGAAATCAGAAACCTATTAAACGATTTCAAGTTTTATATATATAAATATATATATAAACTAGAAACACTGCTTGTCCTCCTGTTGGATTCCCACAATGTTGAAGCCAATAGCTATACATCTTTATTGCTAGAAAACCTCTAAGAGAACTAGAAAAGTCTAATAGGAAAACTGGGGCAGAGCCTGTTCAGCCTTAGATTCAGGCTCAGTGACTATTGTCATGCAAGAGACACTTCCAGACAATCAGGGTCCACTTCACACTGGCATCTTAATTATAGCAGTAGTGCAACTTCTTCCTGGTTATACGCTGCACTTGGGTTTTGAATGGCAATGTTGGGGCTGCTTTTCACATGCAGAACAAGGACAAAAACTTTATTTAAATTTATTTTTTAAAATAAATATATTATTACGCCCAACATATTTCATATTTTTAGTTTCTGCCATGTTGAAATTACACTCGAGTACATTCCATGACACAGAGATTACTACATCCAAGGGAGAATGATGAGGACACACAAAGAAACCAAATATTCCTCCTAAATATACATTAGGACAGCAATATCTGATGCAAAAGAAAATAGTTTCTTTGCTGCAATAATAATGCCTCATCAGCCCTCCATCTCACAGTATGTTTAGTAATCTTTCCCACCAATTTCCACAGCTTGGTACACATGCATTTGCATGTAAAAACACTTATTTCCATGAAAACATTCAGAATGGCATGCCAATAAAGAAATGCCACGACCATGAACTTAGGGCATTTCAAGGTTCTGCAGCCTTTTGTCCACTTTAATTATTTAAGCAAGTGTCTATAAATCATAACTCTATAACGTTGCTTAGATCTCTTTGTTGTAGCACAATATCCTACACTCCTAGGTTATGACTGGAAATCAAGTTTGATTTGAAAAACAAGGGTTAACACTGATTTATTACATGGATGCTGTGAGGACAAAGAAATTAGTTGCGTGATTTACTTTCATGCTTCAATGTAAAACACTCATCAAGATGATTTGGTCATTTTAATACAGAAATCCTAATGTAATGTTAAAATCCTGAAAGATATCACAGTGACACATTTTTATAGTGTGCTTGTATCAATAATAAAAGAAAATATACATGACTGATACAAGTGTTTGGATGCATTATTAAATCTCTAGCCTGAATGTTCTTTCCTGATATGAAACTATTAATAAACACAATTGTAGGACATTTTGGGGTGTCATGACAATACTTTTAAGACTCCTATCCAATAACAAATAGAAGTTTGCAACTTTAAATGTAGATATTTAAATGATAAATATTAAATGTTTATATTTGATATGATAAAGT